ACACTGAAAAAAAAAAAAACACATTGGATCTAGAGTCCAGACTCTTGAAAACATTGACAAAAAAAAGGACTCTTGATACAATCTTTAAGCTTACATCAAAAGGTAATCCGCCCAAATTAAGAGGCTTGGTTCTTGATTTAAGCTTAAATCTGATTGAATCAAGAGTATTTTTTCTTGTCGATGTTTTCAAGAGTCTGGACTCTAGATCCAATGTGTTTCCCCCCCCCCCCCCCNAGAGCAGGTTGATAACGGCTTAAGATCACTTACACAAACCCTCAAATCTCACTGTGCCCACATGGGTCGAAAACAACACTGAAGAAAAGTAATGGTAAAAAAAATACCCTGACAAGGATTGTGATACTGTGAAAATAAATGTGTGTGTATCCATGTGGTGGCACTAAGATATGAAACTGAAACCGGTAATCGTTTATACTAAAATCGTTTCCGTAGTAAACTTAGTTATGCATGTGTAAGCAGGGTATGAACTCACTGCAAAAACCGGGAACACTCAGGGAAAAGATTATGACTGAGAAGTTTCCACGACGGATCTTGGAGAGCCTTATCAAAGGACTCGCTGGCCTGGAACTTGGAGAAGACCACGGTGAGCCCCACTCATTCTGACGTGCATCACATGGACTTACCACTATAAGTCTGGGATTCATGCAATCCGTGCCTGAATCACTCAAATTAGCTGGACTGCATTTTTCAAAAAGGAACTACGATATCTTGCTCATGGATAAAAACAACTATCTGCACAGGAAAACTGATGGCACATATGCTGTTTCTGAAATAAGCCAGACATTATGGTTCCTTATTGCGAATTGTGGTCCAACTGTCGAGTATAGCTAGTTCCGGTAGTCCTTCGCCCGGTGTTGAAACGCAGAATGATTTAAATTCCATTAGAGCTCTGGAGAATTTGACCTGTTGAGTGTGTGCCTTGTTAGATTTAAGCAAAAGAAGAAAAATTACAGTGAAAGCCGCTAAGTCGAATTGTGTAGGGACCGAAAAAAAAATCGACGAAAGCGGCAATTCGTCTCAACAGATTCTGCACTTAACACGAAAAATTTCGACTTGAGCGGCGACACCGCATTGGACCTGCTCATCAGCAAGTTAAAGTCAGACAAGCAATCAGTACTAGCCGATTTTTTAGAGCAGTGTCATAAAAACTGTGTTTAACTGTTTACATTCAGATCAAATTAATCAAAATTGAAATTAAACAAAAAATTAGTAAAAAATTAAATTTTAAAATTCTTCCAGGAAGAATCAATTACCTAATCAATTATCAATCAATGCAACCTTGCCAATCAATGTTTCTGAGAGTGTGAAAACTCATCCCCTCAAAGGAGAGGACTAACCTTTTTGGGGTAACGATTCCTTTTTGTGGAGGACAATCAATGACGTGGAGTAGATACAAATGTTCATGCGGAGAATAGCATTCCCCGGGAACGGAATTGTGGTTTCCCCAATAATAATAAACACTCTGTGAGAGGAGGGTTTCTTCCCTGCGGAGGAAAGTTTCGTCTCCGGAAAGGAAACTTTCATCTCCGAAAAGGCTTTTTTTATTTCGGTTCCCTAGTAGGAACCTGGGTACCAAGAGCAACCAGTCCATGATTAGGAGAGAAAAAATTTCTACCCTAAACATCTCAGTGCGAAGCAGAGAAATATTTTATCTCCTGAGCAACTAGTCGGTGCAAAGGAGAGAAATGTTTTCTCTCCTGAGCAACTAGTTTGTGCTTAGGAAAGGATACATTCCTCTCCTAAGCACCAACTAGTTGCTCGGGTGAGTAAACATTTCTCTCCTCCCTCCCCCCCCCCCCCCCCNTGTTTCTTTCCTTGTTTCCCTTTTCAGCCCAAAAACCCATGATATTTATGGTATAAAATGGCATGCATGTGTTTTAAGTTACAAACCTGAGATCAGGGGTGCTGTAACTTCCCAATCACGCCATCTCTATCACATGGCTGGTCATGTGAAAAAACAAGAAGTCAGAGAAATTTGAGATGGCCAGCTCATGGAGGCATTCAAATTACGTATGTTTGACGTAGAATCACCGTTATGCGATCTGTTCACCTGTCAACTGGCACAAGACTTACAATCCTACAGAACTGCAGCATACTTGTACGACTTTATGGGCTGCTATGCGGTCCGAATATCGGTGGCCAATAATCATCGAAGAAATTCCCGTATTAAAATATTGATGAAAAGGATATTTGTGATAAAATTGACTACTTTTTGTAAGAATATAATTTAATAATAAATATTTTTGATCACAGCAACAAACAGGAAGGAAACATCCAGACCAGTAACGAAAAAAATGTTGGTCTCTTTCTTTACTGACGTCAAATAATAAAATTAATGAAGTAAAACGAGAACAAACGACACAGAGTAAAAAAATAATCAGAGAAAAACCAGGATTCTCAAGATAAGGAGAAATGTGCCAAAAAATCAGGGCATTTAGGAGAGAATCATTCAAGTGCTAATAGATGTACTCATAAATATTTATCAACATGCCCGACAGACATAGATTCGCACGTATCAATTTGCTGGTTTTGCAGTTTGGCGAAGACTCTATGCTAAACACTAATGAACGACAGGCTGTGCATATAAAATGAAACATTAAAAAAGTTTGGTAGGGTTTGCAGATTCACAAAGAGTTTAGACAAGTGAAAATCAGAGAGAAAAAATGCAGAGGAACAAGTTATTTACTAAATAAATGAAATTTGGGATTACTCTTTGATGAGGCAGAATTGGCCAAACAGAAAAAATTCTTCAATATTTTTGAGATAAAACTATAGTTCAACACTGTTAAAAACATTTAACTCGATATAGCGATGTTTCAGGAAGAACTTCTAAATTATTGAAGAAAATCTAAAGCTGAAAAAGGTAGGTCATACTAAAGGAAAACAACTGACATAAATTAAAATAATTGATTTGGATTATTAATGTGTTGGAGTGAAGAATAGTGTTCTGATTGTTTATGTAAAAAATTTCAATTTTGGAAAATGTCAATACGTTTTCAATATGAATATGAAAAAGGGCAATTTCTTCACATGTGCCGAATCCCATGAAAATATTGCGTACTCTGCGCATATTTAACATAAGACTCATGTTGTTCCCTACTTTTTCAAAGACAAAACACCATTTTGAAAAAAAAATACATGAGTTTCCTAATGACGTGTTTTACGTAGGATCACCGTTAAATTTGCAGGCTTTATGCAACGTCACAGACAAACACAGCAGTAATGGCTTTCAAAATTTTTGAAAAAAAAGGGATGTTTAAACAGACTGATTGTGAGAAGGCTGGGTAAGAACTCATGTATTCCTAGTACAGATAACAATAAAATAATTTTGAAAAGCCAGCCGCTGCTGATGATGGTTCAACATGACTTTAAGAAAAAAATTGAAAAAAAAAAATCGAATCTCAAAAATTTAAAAAAAGAAAAACACCAGAAAAAAAATTATGAAATTCTATCAAAACAAGAGAAGTTTTTTAAGTAAGTTGCGAGAAAATTTTAGTACGTAAATATAGATTATGCAACTTTAGTAAGTTGCATAAGAGATGACCACCCTCTTCTTGGTGATTATCAATACTCAAGCCACAAACTTTTGACTGTGTTAGCCAATCCAAAAAGCATCTCAAGCTATTTAAAAAAAAATGTCTCTCATCGGATCTAAAAAAAACTCAACAGACTTAACCTAAGAACTCGTTTCTGTGCCTGGCGCAGTCTCAGAGACAATTCAATGCCAGATTAAACTAATTTTATAAGGATAGAAGCACTGTAGAACACTCAACGGAATGTTCTTCAGTCTTAATTTTCTCGATTATTTCAAAGCAAAAGGCTCAAAGCTAGCAACTCAATCAATCTAGCCTGATGATAATATGTGAGCACTGGCAACTTACACATGATTCAAAGATGGCACACTTTTAAATGATGGATGATATAATTGAGATTTCCTTCAGTCATGGATTATTTTGAGGAAAAGTACTCTCATTGCTAATCCCTTCCCTTCTAGTCGTTAATTAGAACTTGCAGTTAGCGACCATGTAACCATGTGCCATAAAACCGTGACCTCAAGACACGATCACTAATCTTTGGAACTTGATTCACCCCAATCAGGGTTGCACAAGTGAAGTGAGAAATAAGAAAGATTGAAAATTTCTGTGAAGAATGCGGTGAAATTTCACAGGACTGTGAAAAATAAGGAAAACATCGAACACATTTTCAGGACCACCAAAAAGCAAAAATCATTCGACTTTCATTGTCTGACCTTTCATATTAATCTGAAAGTTCAATGAATTTTTCAGGTGCTGGGTATGCCACATATACTAAAAACAACCAAAAAGCAAAAACCACTTGTGTTTCACTCAGTTACAAAAAAAGTTTTTCAGTATCTTTCAGATTTTTCGGTTATTTCTAGGAATTTTTCACATGAAATTTTAACATTTAATTTTTCATGAAAAATTGCTAAGGTGTCTATTGTCAGAGACGCATCCCTCCTCACGAGAAGCCCAATACATAGATGTCAATCGAAAACATTATTTTGAGGCAGAGTTAAAAAAGAATAGTAAATTATGTACATAAGAGTCACTTTCACAGCGCCCTGCGTCACCAAACCAACACAGTACCCAATCCTCCCCATCCTCTCAGGGAGTTGGCACTCCCTTACATATACAGGGCTTGCTTTACATAAAGGAGACGTCCAAAGAATATCTCACAATCAGCAACTTTCCATGGTGAATAAGTCGAAGAAAAATTATTTCAATGACTGATTTTAGTGCTGTAAAGATGAATTTAGACTAATGAGCAATGTCAGTGAACACTACTTTCATTGCTGTCGTGATGAATTCAACCTATGAATGAAATGATTTGACTGGAATTAGCCGAACTGATTTTTATGTAGCCCAATTTTCTCTTGTGATTTATTTTTTAAACAAGAACGAAACTACTTTATGTATATGAACTTTCCACGGATTTATCCCCAATTATGAAAAATATACTCACAAAATTCCAAGGTTACAGTTACTTAGTTCTCTGTTTAGAAAATGAAAAATAAGAAAAAAAGGGACAATTTTTGGCTAAGTTAGGCTGATCCCAATTAAATACGTCCGGATAATCCACTTTCCAGACAAGAAAGTGCCAAGCCCACAAAGCTTACATCAAAAAATACATTAGATTGAAGACCGGCTCAGTTTGACTGCCAAGAATTTAAAGTGATTCACAGAACAGGAAATTATTTAAGTCCGAAAGATAACTTAAAGTAGGAAACAAAAGGGACAGATTGCAAAAAAATTGGAATACGTCTGCATGTTTTATGATGAGGGAGAAACATACAATTCAATTGTATTGCGTGAATAGCGGTTCAGCAGAGATGGACCGAATAATCCAAAATTCTGAGATTTTAAAAAATTTTTGCGAATCGTTCAATCATAAAAAAAGGAAACATTATCAAGAATTCTTCAGGACTTTTCGACGCTACTTAAACTTATGGACTTAATGAATTACATCACTGAATTGCAAGCTTAGGTGAAGTCAACTTTACGATTTCCACTAATAATAATCAAGGACTTGGTGCGAAATTAGTTTCTACATTTTCACTGGTATCGACTTCCCTCGAATACTGATCAACATCAGAAATTCCTGACTTGTTATTGACAGCATTTTCCTTTTCATTGATGTTAAATTCAGGATCAGAATGATCAAAAGGGACGTCTGCGTGACTAGAGGCTTCACTATCCAAGATATCAGAAGCATGAGCATCGCTCGGTGCCTGGGAGGATTCAAATAAGTTACCATAGGGCATTGCATCAGGAGTCGGAGCTCTACGCTCAACACCCGACGGCCCTGCAGTGGGTTGACTTCCATGCAGTGCGCCACTAGAAATATCACTAATTTGCTTTTCACCACTACTTGACAAATCTTCGACAACTAAAGTATTAGGGTTACTCAGTACCTGGGAGGATTCGAATAAGTTACCTGAGGGCGTTGTATCGTCAGCTGGAGCTCTACTTCTGACACCTGATGGCCCTGCAGTTGGTTCACCTGCTTGCATTTGTTCGGCTGCTTTTTGAGCTTCTATTCGAGCTAACCGTTTTTCTAGGGCTAGCTGGCGATTACGTTCCATTCGCTCTCTCTGCTCTTCAGTAATTTCAACCTGAAAGAATTAAGAGGAAAATAAATTAACACCAATTAATAGAACCGGAGGTGACAAATTAAACAATATTGTCAAAAACGAGTCTTAAAATAGACTTCCACCTACAGATGACAACTTCTAGTCAACAAAATTGATTTAAAGCGGTTTTTTGTAGTGTGGTAGAACATGAGGCAACTTGAGACAGGGAATCAAAAGATGAACAGAATACAAGCAGAGACCAGGATGTAACCAAGCATTTAGAACGACATTGGGAAAAAATTTATGTTCAAGGAACACAATACAAGTCAACACCGTTCTGCCATGCTAAGGAAGAATGCCTCCCAATATTTTGGAGAATTTCATACTCAATTTAAACCACAAGCTTGGCAAATTTAAAGAAAAAAATATTCATAACTTCCATGAAAAATATTTTTTCGGGAGTAAATTTGACAACACTCGAATGATCACACAGCACTTTCTCTAGGAACAGTAGTGTTAATGTAAGCGTTAAAATGATGTGCACAAGTGCAAAATGAACATAAATAAACTGAGACACTCAAGTCAAAGCACACAATAGGTCTAATTAGTTTCTGCCTTATTGTTTTTTATTTTCGATAATTTTTTTTGGTTCGACTATGTTTTCAAATTCGAAACTACATACTAAATCTGGCTTATTTGTAAACACACCCATCTGCATCGCAAAACTAATGTCACAGTTTTTGTTTCTAAAATAAGGCAGTCAACTTGGTCTCCATATTTTTCACAGCTAGTAGCCAATTATAGAGGCATCCTTCAGGCATAAAAAGAAATAATAGGGGGCAAGCCTCAATAACTTTCAGATTCTAAGACACAAATATATTTTTCAGTCGGCAACCAGCCAGTGATCCAACTTCACTTCACCGCTTTAGGAAGAATTTAGCTGGCAATTCTAGTTTACAGCGACTGCTTTCACAACTTGGTGGTTGACAAGAAAATTTTCAAGAATTCACGAGCAAACTTCGAATAGTGCAACTTCACCAATTTTTCGGGCCCTTCAGTTTGGCTCGTTGAATTATCAATGTTGAAGCCTGCTTCACTGGCACATTAATTTTTTAACTGCTTAGAGTATCATCTAAATCATGTTTGGGTATAAAGAGACCTAATATCCAGAACACAGTTTATAGAGTCTAAATGTGCTATACGGGAATGAACAATACGAGACAATATAAAGATAATTGAAGCTGAAATTTTTCGTTTGAGTCAAACTTCAGACTTGTTCAGCCGTTGAATTTTATTCAACTGAATCATGCCATTCTTGAATGGAGAACTTTTACATGTGATCAAAACTGACTTGACCACATGAAAAATAATTGATGAAAATGGAGCAGAAAGTTGATAGCTAAATAACATGTAAGTACCCGGGGTTTTGGTGTAGTGACAGGAACAATAGGTTCAGTAGGCAGCAAGGAGTCAAAGGCATCGCCCAAGGGTTCCGGTTCTGGAGGCGGCGGAGAAGCCGGTTCTTCATCAATGAACTCCTTGGAGATTGGGTTCAAAATATCATCCATTCCTAATCTCATTCTCTTCATATACACCTGAGAACAAAAACAGGCTGATGGTGATTAAAGGTGCATTGAACTAAGGTAACATGTATCTGGTGAAATTGAAAGTTAGAATACTGCTGACTGCTGAGGGCTGACACAATGAATCAGTTGCAAAACTTGTATTGACGTTTATTAGTTTTCATTTGACAGGGTGTCTAGTTTTTTTTTTTCATTTTAGGAAATCCTGATGAAATCCTGATTTTTCCTAATTTTCTACTGCTAAATCCTGATGTCATAATTTTACCAAATCCTGATTTCTTACGGAGAAAAGTTAGGCGAATGTTACTTTACAAAATTAGCTCGATAAAAGAATCCGATCAAACGGCCGACTTTTCTCAAATCTTGATTTTACGACCAATTTTCCCTCAAAGCCTAAAGAAATCAGGGTTAAATCCTGATTGACCTCTAATCCTGATAGAATCGGGAAAATGGGGAAAATCCTGATGCTAGACACCCTGTTTGATTTCATAGTTTTACTGTGGCTACTAAGAACTTGAGCCTCGGATGTGAAAAAGAGGATTTATGACAATGAGTTCAGCAGGAAAACCAACTAATTCATTATTTTTCAAAACTAATGTCTCATTTACAGTTTGGGTTTCACAGATGGTTTCTCTTGGTGACACATGACCTCATGACTGTTGTAAACTTTTCCAGAAGCTTTAAAGCAAATTCTTCTTTTGTTAAGTTTTACTTACAAGAGGACAAAAAGAATGATTTTTTGTTACATTTTACTTACAAGAGGACAAAAAGGATAATTTAACTGTTTTTTGAGTCCAACTTTAACATGTCCTGTTTTGAAAGTATCAAAATTCACAACCGCTTGGGAGAAAAGGCAAAGAGATAAGAAATAATATCCGTTATCTGCTGGACAGAGACAGGGATAGCAGAGTTGCCAACTAGAGAAACTTTTTTATAACATTCATGGTTTCATTTACCTCAAACTTAAACCGAAAACTTGGACTCACAATTTTCAAGTGTATTAAGAAGCAATTATTAATTAATATGAGCTGCGGGCAGCAAATAGTTTTATTTTGACTAGGGTGGTCTTCCAAAACTGCGCTGGGAAACTTGAGATTTCACCTTTCACGAGGTTGCCAGGGAATTAAAAATATGAAACTTCTTGACATTTCGCTAATCGGTTTAGATGAAATTTCCAGACATTTTAGGATACATATGGCATGGTTCTTAAAAGGGCTACTCTTATTATGAACATTTATTTACCTAGATTTGTTGTTTTGTATGTCAAGCCCATTCTAGAAAGATAATTTAAACAAATTTTCACAGTTGCTTTTGTCTTTTTCCCAGATATTATTAGGTATTCCCTGACCTCCAAAAATTCCGTGAATTTTCTCGGTATTCCTTGACTATAGCAATCCTGTTTCCCCTGACTACATTACACTATGAGCTTTTGAGCCTAGACCAGCGATGCTAAAAAAAGGGAGTACTCATACCTCAACTTGACGTTTTGCACCCAGTTTTTCAACTCTGGCTAGCACTTCATCGAAGTTGTAACGAGGGAAAAGCCTATGGGTCCAGTACTCAAGTTTTGTCATCACTCTATTCAGATCTGACAACTCATGTCCTTTGCCTTTCAGCTGAATATCAGCAAAAATCTCTTTCATAGCACACAGGCCTCGCTTGCCTGTCAATCTGGAAAAAATAAACAGTCAAAATAAACCTACAAATAAGTGTGATGCTGGAAAATAGACCATGTTAATCGGAGAGAAACCACGTCACATCAGGATCAAGCCGAAAAAAAGAGGTTTTAACATGTATTCTTCCTTAAGTCTCAAGGTTCAAAATTAAGATCAACACCTAGATCTATTGGTAATTAATCTCTAGGAGGAGAATTTAATGGGTCGTTATTCCAGAATTCTTTCCATGGAAAATAGAATCATAAGGAATATTCAGTATCAATTGTAGTGAAATGGATGCATTCATTTTCTTTACAATGAATTAAATATTAAAGGAAACTCTTAAACACTGCAAACGAGAAGTGCCTTTTTGGCATCAAGTGCCTCAATTATTGTTACAAAGCAAGAGAAAATAGAATCAAGCAGAGTTAGCAAATATTATCAGCATCATCACTGAGTTACGTCTTGTCTATATGAAAGCTTTGCATGGATAGCACTGAAGTTTTAAAAGATCAGTGAAACATTTGGAATGAAAAATAGAGGGATGGATGAGCTATTGAGCTCGTATGTTCATTTCAAGTCCAAAGACAATAATTTTGATGCAAAAAATATGCGCAAAGACCACACTTTCCTGATTTTTCATTGTAATTTTACTGGGATTTAAGTATATCCGTTCTTTTCAAGTTTGGGGTACTAACATTTAGGGAGAATTTCCATCAATACTGTTCAATTAATCTCACTAGCAAGTTATAGGAGGCATTTTTCACGTACCTAAGATTTAATGTTTCCGAACAGAGATATCAAAATTGTAGAAGTCTATTATGTCAGAAATTCTGAATTGAAGCGTTTCAAGTACAGATATTGCGGTGAAGAAATTAAGCGCATTCAAATATTTTGAAGTGTCTGTATGGACCATGTGTGGATAACCTGAGGCGGATCCAGCAATTCGGCAACACCGGATTTCCTCCATTTAAACCTATGCTAAATAATCGATTCTTGTCGGAGCACCTGGCCCCTCCAAGGATCGATACATTTCTATAGGTTTAAATGGAGAAAAGACAATGTTGGCAGTTTGCTGGATCCGCCAATGTAAATAAGGCATGAAGTCAAAGTAAGGTTGGCTTGGAATAAACTTACGTGTGGTAGTTTAATTTTGGCTGGGGGTTTAGGATGACACGTTTCTTCTTGGGTTCTTTCTTGGTTCCATCTGACTCTCCTGGTGCCATACCATTGGCCGCATCCTGGTTGTCACTATCGCCTTCATTTGGATTTCCATCATTATCGCTTCCAACATTGGCACCTACAATTGCAAGAAACAGGAAATAAATCAAATCTGATCCTTCAATGGTACAATATACTAGGCCACTAAATTAAAAACCCAATGATCTCAGGGCCTTAATTTTAATACCCATTCCTTAATTTTCACTGGATAGTAGATTTCCCTGGTCCCTATTTCCCTAGAAAATTTTCGATTTTCGATAAGCTCCAGCATTAACAGGTCTAAAAAACTCATAGAGTCGTAATGAAAATGGGAGAGCTGGCGCCATATTCTGGTCGACAAGTTCCAAGCCTAGTGTGACCAGAGCCTCTGCGACTTATTCGTTGCATTTGTCAAAATGGCCATGTAGAATGCGTAGTAATTCCTGTCCTCTTTGTTTCCATCAGATGGCCAGATCCTCATGTATCAAAAACAATTAATTAGGTACCAAAAATCTCAGAATTTGGGACCTGGAAAATCCTTAACAGTGGAGTCAGCTCTCCCATTTACATAGGGACTCTATGTACTCTGGGAGAAATCTGAAATCAAATGCCAAGTTCCAAGACCCTTCACAGGTTAGAAATGTACCTATTTAGACAGATGTTAAATGCACTATCATTACAGGTGACTCTTGAATTCTGCATACTTTCACAGTAGCTGCATCTAAGAGTTGACTTGTTTCACTAAATTGAACAGAACAGGATCTCTGAGAGTAAAGAGGAAAATACCTAAATCCTGTCAAATTCTCAAATTCAAAACATAACTGCACAGACACACTTCTCAGTTTCGGACATGGTAGCCTTCCGCAAATACTTCATTTTTTTAAAATGGAAAACTATTTTGGGTCATACCTTCCATGGAAACATCCTTGGGTTCTATTTACTCTGTTTGATGAATGTTTTAAGAGTTCGAAGCGATAATGCATGTTGATTCTCCTCCGTGAAGAAACGCTAATGACATAGATTTTGAAACACCGCAAATGAGATAAACATTTCTTCAATTTTGCCATTGAAATTGCTCTCTTATTATTTGTCAAGATTGCTAAGCTTCCCTATTCTTTCAGGTTAGGAACACCACAATGTACAACTTTACCGCAAAAAATAACTAAAAAAAAAGAAATAGAAGTTGATAGCTCACCCTCTCCGCCTCCTAAAATCAAGTCCAGATCATCAACTGGATCTGGCTCGTCGACTGCATCTGGCTCATCAACGTCCATTTCTTCTTCCGATTCAAGATTCATCATAGCTTTGGTAGAAAGATACCTAAATAAACAAGAAAGAAAGTCTTTACTACCTACTAACTAAAGGTGAAATACACCAAAGCAGAAAGGTAATGTTCTACACATTGCAGCTCAAGCACTTACAGCCTAGAATGAATGAAGTACCTGGATAAATGACATTTCTCCGATATTAAGCTCATAACTGTAAAATACTGATGGACCTTCCATATCAAAATGGATTAAGACTAACATTGCGAAGGATTTCAATCAGTCAATTTAAAGTTAGGTTTCCTGTGAAATAATTTCAGTTCATGTTAGGTACACACTCATCTCAGTACGTAAAACCAGAAGCAAGTCTTGATCTTTTCTGAACCTGCCCAAAGACATTAAACTAAGCAGGTAGATGATGCATTTCCTTATCTTGCCACACTGGTGCTCCGTGATCCTTCTCCCTGCAACTTAAGGATGTGTGAGAGGACTTTCTGTTGAATGATGCTGTGTGCCTATCATCCAAACTACTTTCCCCAGTTAAAACACAAAAAACAAGCGACCAAACCATCACCTGACCAATATAGAATTGGGGGATTTTATGGATCATGGACATTCAGATAGAGAGGATAAAAGGTTCAAAAGGAGGTTAGGATGCAACAAAATGTGATGCGGTACTTAATAAAGCTATTTAACTTTCGATGTCATCTTTCGTACTTAGGCAATGATGCTTCGGACAGGCTTGGGCTTATTCAAAACTTACCTGCTCTGTGAAAAAATCAGACTGATAATGTCCTTTCACTCCAACCGTGAAACAAAACAGCCTGGCAGATACTGCCCCATCATATCAATGTAACGTACTTATCATTGAGGTATCTAAGTGAAACCTGATGGCAACTAGGACCTACTTCTTCGTGACCCTCAGACAGTACTTGAACTGGTGGCGAAGCAGTCGTTTTCAAATTTGGTTGTGCCTTGGAAATGTGAATTGGCCTCATACGTAAGATGAGGCTACAGCAAAGCGAACTGTTTAGCTATGCTGTATGCAACACACTCGTTGGATCTTTTGTTCCTTGATGTTGCATAGAAATAAACACATCTTTATTCGCCACCTCCTTCAGAATTTCCATCATGTTTTTTTATCGGGGTTGGAGCAAGTATTAAACCACTGTTATAAACTGAACTACTGAGATGGTGAGCAGAGATCATTGACGTGTAATACAATCTAAACCGCGCATTGGGCCCGACTTTAGGCGGGGAAGGTAAGACAGCTAGGGGGGTAAAGACGCGCCTTCAGCCTAGTTGAAACCGCCGGATATACGAGCTAAGTGTACCCGTATCAGGCAACACCACTGATAGGACTGGCATTTCAATTGTCTCAGTACGTATTGCCGGTTCACTTACTGGGTGTTGCTGGGTTGCCTATCGTCTCGCCTGAAGGGACTCTAGTCTTGCCGAAATTACCTAATGCGCGGTCTAGATTGTATTATACGTCAATGACAGAGATGTGAATGGAGAGGGTTTACAAAGATGCTAATTAGTGTCGAGAAGGGCAGTGATGACTAGGCCAATGCCAGTGAAGTGAACTGTGAGGAAAACTAATAGGCACTGCATAACACTCGTAGTACGGTGCCCAGCACAACATTCTAGAAAAGATTAAGAACCCTGGGTAGAGTCCACGCCACCATAATTCTAACAGGCTAGGATGGCGGTTCAAGGTCAGTTGGCAATAATTAGAGGAATCAAGAGAGCCTATCTTAAACCTCACTGTAAGGGATGTAGATTTGCTTCAAGTGGACCCCAGCTCTATATCTGGTGGGAGACAGGTACGACATGAACATGAAACTTGTTCACAGGGTCCGTCACTGCCATCCAGCAACTCTTTCGGCAGACAAGACAAAACTACGGGCGATTCAATCCTGTCAGCAAAGACGCGACTATTTCTAGCAGAAATCCTGGAGCGATGACACACTGGAATGAGAAGATGGTTTGAGAGAGGACTAGAAATCAGGAGAGGTAACCACAACGGCGTGTGACTCTCCGAAAGATGATGCTTCCAGAGTTGCTGTCATTGACTGAAACTTGGGTTACACATTGCACCAATTGCATTAGCTGACAGTCGAGAGTGCAACAGGATAAGAATCAGATCTTCTATTAGATTGTAGAGTTCATCGACACACAAAAACTCAAGTTGAAGAGCCCATGTGCTCGGAAAACATAGTCCCCGAGAGCACACAGACTTTGAGAGGAAAGAATCTACTGAGACAATAACTTACCAGTGTCAGTTAGTTATAATTTCTCGAAATAGTCGTATCTTGCTTCGATTACAGTATTCACTGGATCAATCAGCGCAAACTTGTGTAATTACACTAAATTTAAATTGCTACCGTCAAGATAAGACAAACACTCACACGCGTTAGCCAAACGCACATGAAAATGCAAATGGCGTCGCCGAGCAGTCTCAACAGGTTGCGGCTTGAACAAGGCATTTCCCGCCATTTCGAGTCGTATTCGCGTTCCCATTGGCTGTCGTAGTTGTCCTTTGTTATGAATACCCGCATCTTTGAAACCATTTCCGCCGCACGCCGTTTCCGGCGGAAATAACAGGCGAGGGGGGAGGAACGCTGAATTACACTCAAAAAATGTGCGTGGATCTCGTTGCAGATGAGCTTACTCTTTTCATCTGCTCGTTTCAATGGCAGCTATGGTATCTACGCAAGTGGATGAAAGATGTAGACTCTGTCTTAAACGAGGTATACACAAATAAAGCATAGTTAAAGCAATAAAAAAAATAATAAATGTGCACCACGCTATTAACCGCAGTAGCAATGACCTGTTGAGAAAAACTTTCAAAACCTCTCAAAAAGCTGTTAAAATATTCATTTGTCGAATTCATTCGTTGCCTATTTTTTAAGTATAATTCAACTATTCGTGAAATTTACTTGAATACAGACTTTAAAAAGTAACTTCTTTTTGAACGTTAATTAACATTTCTCAAACATTTTAAATGTTGAACAACTACAGCTGATATTTAAAAAGTTTTCCAACACTATTCTACTTAACCTCACGCTTTCATGTAGTTTTCTTGAAGAAATGCCCCCCCCCCCCCAAAAAAAAAACACTATACAAAAATACGAATATTTCAGCAGTTTTTTGAAGAGTTGACTTTTTTCTTTACATGTTCTTGAAAGGCTTGTTTAAAAATTATTGCTACTAAGGTAGCATGGTGTAGGATTAGTGTAGTATTATTTCTACCTTACTTCCAATATTGCTGCAATGTTTAGGAACATCCTCCCTAGCAGTAGCACATCAACAATCTTTAATATTTGTTTTACCAAGATAGGTATAATGTGGCTGCAATGTAAAAATCCAAGATTTTCATTAATGAACTTCATAAGGTTGCATTATAAGCTTTGTAGGTACTGAAAGAAGGAAATTTTTGTGAAGAAGTTATTTTGAACTTGTTCTGCAGAGAAATAAGTGTCAAAATTTATGAGGCATTTCACTTGATGTGATTTTTCCTTTATTCCTTTTCAAAGTTTTGTTTCTTTCTTTCTCTTCCTATTTTTTTTTTCTGCAACCTTAAAAAAGATACAAAGGAGAGATGGGTGAAAAAAATCAAGGTCAATATTCAATGCTCAAAACGGTTAGCTCAAAATGATATTGATGCCACCTTTTTCCTGAAGTATAATTTTAGTTCTGCGACACCTGGTTTGATAATGATGCAGAGATAGTCAAATCAGGCAGATTAATAAATGCCTGGAGCAGTTGGTCAAACTTTACAGAGGTCTTTTATGCATCCAACAAAGATTTCAAGATTTAGAATATTCTTTGAATAAAATTTAATGTATTGATTTTACTTTGTTACTACTTGCTGGAATTTTCTTAGCTAATTTTTCTTTCTAGGTCATTGATACTTCGTCACACAAAATTTTGTATACTACTTTGTACATACACCAAAAAACATTTGTAGATATCTTTTCACAGACCGAAATTTTTTGGAGGTTCTTTACCTACAGAGATTGATTTTCTCCTGGCAGAACTAATCACACATCTTAAAATGCCGTTTAAAAGGGACTAAAGAAAAAAAAATTACCTTCCAAGTGGATTTTGCCGAGCTCACCGAAATACAAATTAACGGAAAAATAGGATATCCTTAACATCATGATTGTATGAAATAGCTTGAAATAAAAGCGTTGTAACTAACTTTTTAGAGAAAATGGAACTATTCATATTTTTAAAATAGCTTAGTGGGGCCCTATAAGTATGATCACATTTGTTAGAAATCTCTAACACAAGGCACAAGATGCTAAGCTTCAAACATTTTAAATTACATTGGAAGCGGTGCATCTGTTGGGCAATTTATGAACGGTAGCTTGAAACGAAAAAACTATAGTTATAACCCTTCTGCTTTAATCTACTGATGTAAACCATGTCATTTCTTTTACTATTTTTTGTTTCCCAATCTTTCGAGTTCGAACTCATTTTAATGACAAACAACACAGCTCTTTTGAAGGGTCATGGAGAATTAATCTTCATTTGAGGAGTGTATTCTTACATCATATTCCAACAACTGTTCCTCTTCAAAGCATTTCCCTCTGCTTTTGAAGGTATGACTTCAATGTGTTTTAAGGGAATTTTTCAAGCATGCGTTTTGATTACTCATTTTTCAGTAAGATCAGAAAAATATGTTCTTTTCAAAGTTTGAATTAACATGAGGTCATTGAATGTCAGGTGTGGACTGTCAGGAGGTGCTAGAGGATGGCAGTGCCCCTGGGAGGGGAGAACTCTTTTGTGAAAAAGAGTGTGGGTATGAATCATGATGAAGGATTCATCATGACTGAGTAGCCACACATTTCATTTTCTCAATGATATAAGAGAGATTACCATTACACATGCCATAAAAAAACTTGTGTAATACATAATTACAATGTTTAAAAGAGGTTCGGTGATGAAAATTGCATGTACGTATTGCAAAAGGTACAAGGGGCATTCACTCGTTGAATAAGCATACGTACATCTCTTGAATTAGTTCCATTTACTAAACAGTGATAACTCAGAATTTTCATTGAACAGAAAATGTATGATGGGTTTAAGCAAAAGACTTTGTCTCAGACAACTGAAAAAAGGCTACAATTTTGTAAAACATAAGAAGTTTTGTACATTTCATGTTAAAACTTGTATTGAAAAACTCGAAAAAGCCCATCGTTCACTTTCTTAAATCCAGTAAGTTTGCCACTTAAATATTGATGAAATTTGGCACATTTTCCAGACTTCCGACTTCCCAGTTTGGTCCTGAGGTATCTTCAAACCTACATATCAAGTCAGTAAGCCAGAGAGAAAGAAAAAGTTGCAATTTGGATCACATTTTGCATTTAGGAACTAAAATTTCTGGCTCATCTGTAAAAATACACATGTGCATAGGAAATCTAACAGTACTAATGTTGTTTCTAATTTGAGCTAGAAATTGTGGTTTCTAATTGCAAAATGTTATCCTGTGACAAACTATGTCAGTCGTTGCCCAACCTCCTTTCAAGTTTCATTTTCTTTTTACAAAAACACCGAATAAAATCCTGTGTTGAACTTTTGTAAGTACATGTTTCAAATTTCATAGGAGACTGGCAAAAAGTTTCAAGACATAGTGTTAAAATAAAAATATTAAAAACTCACTTGAAACGTCAAATTATTAGTACAGCGGACATATTACACCAGTAGTTAGGTTTATTCTATTTAAATCCGTTGAATTAATGTAAATAGGCTTGGATGCAACACAAAATGCAACTTTTTTGCTTTTAAAAATTGCTGATGTATCATTCTGGCATCAGAAATTAAAAGGCATCTGCTATTTTTAAAATCACTTTATTTATAATACAACAATGAGTTTGAATTAAACAAAACTTGATTCAACTTGATAAAGACGAGAAGAAAATATAAAATAAAGAATAAAATTTAAATTAAAAAATTATAACAATTCTAATTGATAACATTGATTTGTGTCATATAATACAAATTTTCAATTTCTATCATTCTTACATGAATTCACGCTTTTATCGGTCAATTTAAGGCATTTTGATCACATCCTTGGTTGCAACAATGAAAGCGGTATCATACAACACCATTACATTATTAGCAGGCGTAGATTAATTAGATAAAATTAAATTAGAGGATTAATAAAAAATAATTTTTGTACAGCTAATAGGACTTTGTAAATAAATTAAAAAAGGTTAGGTCAAACCTGATACAGTTTTTACAATTTGAAACTGAAAATAATATGATAGGATTTAAAAAATAAAAACACTAAAATTAATGATTTAGAGAATGCCTTCAAACAATGACAATATTCAACTTGAATTTCAGCTGCGCAATCTCTTAGCTCAGTTCCTAACCATTAATTTACTTAGAACAGGAAAGGAGAGTTCATCTCACATCACCCAACCTACTTATGTCTTTACAGGGGAAAAACGATTGATAAATTGATTCCAGAAAAAAACTGAGATACAGGGTTCACAAGAGAAAGTGACATGAGGACTATAATGTAGCAAGAAATATTAGATGTGGGTTCTAAATTTCCTCATAAAGCATTCTAAACCAGAAAACAAGAGGAAATTTTAGAATCTCTTTAAAAGAATTCTTGGCAAATCAGTAAAGAGAAGAAATTGAAGAAAGGAGGACCAATAGAAACTCATTTACTCATTTACTCTTTTAACTCATTTTCTGGGCTCTGAAACTGGCAACACTCAATGGAAAAATGTACAGAAAATGTATTTCCGAAGAAGCCAAAAAATATAACTAATATCCACTCACTCAGACACGTCAGCTCTAAATGCAAACACACACATTTAACTACAATAAAAATAGAATGGAATACATTCACCAATGAAACCAGTTTAAGTAAGTTAGGAGCTCAAAAAGATTCTGGATGTTTTTAAAATATGATTAAGAAATTCACTGCCAAACAAGTCATACAGATAGTTTTCTTTGTTTGCCATTTGACATAGTACTGCAAAATTTATTGAACTAGCAATGGCAGTACACAGCAGTTGGAATTTGTTTTTTTATCATACCTTTCCTTAGTACACCAGGAAGAAGTACCCAAAAACCATTTGCAGTAAACGTATTGAACATTGAAAGTTAAGGAAGGCAATTAAAAAATACAAACTTAAAGAGAAAAAAATAATAACATTTCACAGGAAGCTTCAAATTAAATCGTTTATCCAGCTTGTGACTTTTTGCATAAATCAGAATACTAATTTTCAAGGACAATCTATTTGTCATCTGGCATATTTGCATTTTTAACCATTAATTAATAATGAGGCTGGGTACGTTTGGAATGACTAACAATAAAAAAAACAAAAAAACAGAAGGGCAAAAGGTTAAATTTTGGTTAGTACAACTAGTCCACCTGCACTGGAAAGTGTGAAAAATTTTGGCAAGAGCGACTCACAAAATTTGGTAAATTGAAATCTAAGTGCTTGAGTTGTTTACAGACATTGTTCTCGTTTAGCGCAATTGGGACGTTTTATCATTTAGTACAAATCTCTTTCCATCTCATTTTTTAAGGACAATTAATCTTAAAAAAAAAAACATGAAGATGTTGCAACAAAAATCCTGACAGAAAGCAAGAGTTATCAACGCGCGATGAGAACAAAATGTCAGTTATTTTGATACTCAATCAATATAAAAGCAGTTGAAATGCACTAAATAAATATAACAAATGCACACAATGGGAATTTCAAATATGGAAGCTTTCATGCAGACACTGAACAAATAGTAATAAATGAAGAAATCATGTCAACAGATTTGATGGCGTCTTCAGCATGAGCAGTAGATGACACAAAGATAATGACAGTTGCTTCGGTAAGTTTTAACCAGAAATAAAGTTTGAATGAAAGAAAAATAATAACTGTTGAATACTACAATTGTAAGGAAGAACACCATATGAACCTTCAGGCGTTGCCAAATTTCCTTTGATAAAATACGAATTTATTGAGTTATTTAAAAAAATCCTTAATCCAGGGAAACTTGCCAACTCTCAAATGTCCATACACCGTTCTTCCTAAGCATGGCAGAGTAAATCACCTAATAGGCATCAGCAGACAGATCTTGCTTTTCCTATCTCTCTCACTAAAAATACGCAGTTTTCATGCCACAAATTGAAAGTTGTGTTCATATATGAGAACGAAAGTACACTTAGACAAAAAATAGCAATCTAGGCTTGTAGAAATCAAATGTTCGTAAAAAACTTCAGAGAGAAACTTCCAGCTTCATGTGTGTTTCTTCTTGTGAGAAGAGAAAAGACAGGAAGTCCAAACAAGATATATTGGTGTTCTATCCATCAGAAAATACTTGAGCAGTTGAAACAAAACAGTCACTGATACAAATTTATTGTTTGAAAACAATGAACAAATTCAAAGAAGACATTACTCCAGCATCTGAGGACGTTTCTGACCAAACAGCAAACACCCATGAGAACATTGCTAAAACAGTGCAACTTTGTATTTTTATACAGGCATCTAAAGGCACTTACTTTCTACATTTTCCTTCGAGAAAAATCAGCATGACACGGAAAACATTTCAGACAAATAACAGGACAGAGCGTATAGCTTTCTAAGGAAAGAAGTTAAGAGGATGCACAGTCATAGAAATGTTGACACAAATATATCTTCAATGAAACTCCCGAAACATGTATCTCATGTGCTGTGTTTTGAGATTTCCGCTCCCATTTTATTTTATTTTTTTGAAGGAAAACAAATCAACATGATTCCTTGGAGTTTTCACAGAATTTTCTTCGCAAAGAGTGGAAGTATTACAGAAGTCTTAAAGAATGGACATTGAGTAGTTTCCCATTTAAAAGAAATAGCATGATGGGAAGTCTGCACCGTCGCAAACCGAGGTATGTGCTTTGGAAGACTCACCATTGATATGCTGTTTGGTCATAGAAGCTCTTGAACAGCTCATGGTTCCAATTATAATGTGAAAAAAAGAACAGAGAGGATAAAATAAAAAATTAAAGCATGATAATACATATTGAAAAATCACCGAGACAAATGAATGATAAAGGGTTAAAAGCGTTAAAACATTTCCTATCTTCTACGAGGATGCAGAAAATCCTGGAAAAGATCCAAGTTATTTTGAGCAGAGAGGGCAAATATCTTACAGAGATCAATTTTCCTTGGATTAGTCTGCTGTTCAAAATCAACTTTTTTCCTTAAAAAAAGTTCTATTAAAATAAGGCCACGTTTTGAGACTTATTTCAATGCACATACCAAAAAAAAGGTGATATTATTCCTTTTGTACAGTATTAAGCTTATGCATCGTGCGAGTGAATTTAAAAAGGTACAGTTGAAATTGAACCCATCTGTAGTATAGAGATCTATCTGAGGACTCCTGAGGCAAAACGAATAGTCATGAATTTTTTTATGTCTTCCCAAACCAAAATGAAATTGTTCTTTCACCTGCCAAATCATCGACTTTCCCACATTTGTTAAAATAAGAGATTTTTCAAGTTCTCTCAATCGTTTCAAGTTAATTTTTTCTTCAATTTTTTCCTTGATATTCCATCTTCTCCAGCTTTGTAAAAATCCTATCAATGAAAACATAGGATGTCACTTACAGAATTCAATAGCCAGTAACAATTTGTAATTAATAGAAAGTACCAAATTCACCATTTTTCTCTGGCACAGTATTAAAAAAATGTGGGATAAAATTAATAAAAAACTAGCAATACTAATGTCCTCCTTCAATATCCCTCTTACAGCTATTGATTTTATAAATACACTTTTTGAGAAAGAATTCAGGTTCTAAAAACTGATATTTTCCGTAGATTAGCACCACTGGCTAAGCTTGCAACTGCACAAATACAGCTATATCTCACACTTAAATGTGATGAACGTCAAAACTCAATCGATTTGTACATCAAAAAGGCAATGAAAAAAGATCCGAGGACAGATCTGATTACATGAAAAGTAAAAAAATTGGTAAAAGCCACAGATATTGAGAGTAATTCCCAGCTTTTGTCTTCAGAAGATGCTTTTATTTCCAGACAAGTAACGCTCGCTATAAACTAAGAAGTGATTTAAAATAATTTGCCACCATTGTATTATTCTCCGAGTTCCTTACTTTCAAAAAAAATTTGTGATGGTTAACGAGAGTCGAATCCAGCAAAAATTTGAAAAAATTCAACAACTAAACATTAAATTAGTGCTCCTGTACAGACCTAAAAGACAACGTACGGCATTGTCACTCGATTGATCAAACACTGAATAAAATCCCGAGGGGAAAAACTATTTAACAATTCAGAGAGTGCAGATGACATTGATGTACGCTGCCGACTTTAGTCAACACCAGTCTGCCATGTAAGTGAAGTCTTTGAAGAGGAGTTGATCATCTTCAGTCAACGGTCTAGGGTCTTTAGGTGGTGTTAGCTGCGGCTTTTCACATGTGAATTCTTCATCAAAGTTGCTCACATCTTCCACAGATGTCTGAAAAATTAAAAGGATGAGTAAAAAAAGCGTAAAAAGATAGTCGAAACCATAGTTAGGCTCTTTAAAGGCATTGCCCTTCATTTGAATTTAAGCAGTGTGATATGTCTTTTCTCATTGAAATTCCATACAAAAAATGATATGTGTGACAAAAATGACTGAAAGTAGATCCTAACCAAGATATTAACATTTTCCAACTCTTAAATTGAAACTTTCCACTCATAAAAAAAAACCAGGACCTCCCATGGTTAAATTGCACACTAAACATAGCCATAACAGTCTATGATATATGGAAAAGGGCAACCTCAATCAGCTGTGCTCATCAAATATACTCATGAGTCATCTCTGGGCCTTGGTACTAGAGTATGTATGTATTTTTATCACTTTTGATAGGTTATTTTCTCCAGAGCTTTTGCGATTTTTCGGCATATTTGCTCATTTATGGCGAGAAATGAAAAAATAGAGACAAAAATAAAACATACGCACCACAGTAGGAACGAATGGTGGTTTCACTTTCCGTAAGAGCAGGTCCTCCCAAACGATTTGTCGGAAGAATGCTTGTTTCTTAACATCCTCAGCGTCTCTTTCACTTGAGCCTAAACGCCTCTCGGGATTCTTCCTCAGCAACTAGACAAAGGGACAGACATATAAATAAGACATTAAAACCATTCAAACCCTTGTGTGACTTGTTCTGAAGGACTACACAAAATGTGGACACAAGGAGAGGGACCTTAGTGCAAGAAAGCAAGTTGGTCCTGTGGGTGATCTTTGTGAGGTTCCATCAGGAAATCGGTACTTGAATTTTTGACATGAAGCTTTCTCTAACATCTCGAAAAGTGAGGTACTTCAAATAATTTTTGTGTCAACATGTCATCATTTGCACAAAGGAGCGAATCTTCATTGCAATGATTCAGTATTTCTTAGTATATTTCATTGGTTTATAAGAGAACCGTCACATGAATTTTCGCAAAATTCATAAGGATTTTCCTTTTTCTTGGTGAAATTTGACTATGAAATTCTAAGACAAATAAGTGAGACGATTCTTCCGTGAAAAAATAAAATGGTCGTAGAAATACTGAAACAGTGCATACCGTATTGCAGGAAATGATGAATGGAAGGCTTAAAGTTGCATTTAAGTGCCAAGATTTCGATCTCCTAGCATATCGGATAACAACTGAAAAAGGCTTACATAAATATGTCTTTTGAATGGAAATAATTATTTGACAATGTTAACTCCTGTTTCATATGACTTTTTCCAGCATTTTTTGTAATAAAAAAATCATTAAACAAACTGATAGTAATATGAGGTGCCAGTACATCAATTCTAACTTGTCAAATACTGAGGTCACTTACCTCATGGCTATCTTCTTTTTAAACTTTTTGACTATGGATATTTTCACATTTGTCTGATACTAAATTGTTTGGTTGCGGTGGGACCTAAGTCCTACTTTCTATTCAAACATGCTTCAGTGAAAACAATTTTAGGCTAGAGCTGACCCTAGATTTGTCCAAGTACACAAAAAAACAACACTTGAAACTACATACCCTCCTCATGATAGAAATAGCTTCTAAGGATAAGAACCGAGGGTACCGCACTTCGTCATTTACAATTGAATCAAACACTTCTTCTTCATCATCGCCAGGGAACGGAGACTGTGAACAAAATTAGAAATTATGAAAATGGTAGATAAAGCGCTTTCGAGTAAAAATGTTATGAATTCAAGTATTTTTATCCTAATTATTGAATGCACCTCTGCTGATGATTTTTAAGTTTTACTCTAAGTATTGTTGACAATCAATTGAACTTGATGTAAATCGAATTCACCCGTCTATAGGATGAATTATCCAAATTAAAATCGAAGAACCAGAAATAAGGCAAAAAAAGATTTGCTAACTCTTGATCCAAATGTCCTCTTATTGCAGATCTAATTTTCTGTGAAACGCATCTAATGAAGATTTAAACTTTCCCATAAATTGAAACCAGTTGATGAAAACGAGTCTACTATTTGAGAGGTCCGCCATTAAAACATTTAAAAAAAAAATTATACACATGTATGGATAAAATTTACTGCAGTTTAAATGGTGGGATCAAATCTCCTTTCCTTCAACCTACAGTCTTCAAAGGTGGCTTTCAAATATTTGGAGGTATATTATATGAACAATTGGTTCTTTACCACTGAGAGTTTCAATTGAATTAAAACAATTTTTTCAATTGATTCATTCTCAATTTTCATCCTCTTTTCTGGAAGTAAACACAACTTTAGAAAAAAGAAAGAAAAAATACCAAAAATCTCCTGAGTCCTGATCATTTCGATTTTTACGTTACAGTGTCAGCTCTACTTTCCTCTGGTAAACTTAGGGTAAATTAGCTATTTTCAGAAGTGATGAGTAAGTCAACATCAACTCACCTCTCCAACCAGCATTTCAAAAATGAGAACTCCAAGACCCCACCAATCTACTGCCCGAGTGTAGGAGGTTTCGGTTAGCACTTCTGGGGCTAAAAATTCCGGTGTCCCGCAAAAGGTGCCAGTTCTGTCCCCGTAACCCATGCCTTCTTTACACAGGCCAAAGTCGGCTATCTTCACATAACCATCAGTGTCTAATAAAAGGTTGTCTAGTTTTAAATCACTGTAAAATAATAGAAATTCGAGTTAAAATAGGATACATTAAAAAATAAATTTGAGACAGAATGAAACCAAATTTTTGTTATACCGCCTGGTAAAAAATTGAATTTTTTAAACAGAAGGTTAACAATTTCATCAGCAAACAATTTTATAGACAACAGTTTAGAAACAATTTTATCTAAAACCTCGGTCACTAAAAGCTTCCAGGGGTATGAGAGTGCAAAGTCGATGAGAGCATTCACTAAAGCTTGAGGCAACATGAGATTACAGGTTTTTTTGAAAAAAAAACAATTGTAAAAAAATACCATTAATTGATTTTTTTTTTTTTTTTATTTTGAAGAGGTAATTACATTTTGTAAAACATGATGCACATCCTGATCAGATAAAGGATCAACTGGTTGTTTCTTGTATTATTATTTATTTCCAGTCCTCGATAACTTCAATGACTCCAAATTTTTTTATTTCAGACTTCAATAGCTGTAAACCTTGATAGCCTTGAATTGTCAAGAACTCGAATTTTTTCTTACTTGTCTTCAACTTTGAGTTGGCGAGGTATGAGTGTTCACATGTTTGATACCTAGATTATTGCGTATGTCGAAAGATGATTTAACTAAAAATTTATGCCAACTCACCGATATATAATCTTGCTTTCATGCAAGTATTGAAGACCAAGAACAACGCAAGCTGCATAAAATACAGCGCGGGGCTCGGTGAATACATCAGCATGGATGTGCATCATGAGGTCACCACCAGCTGCATATTCCATTACAAAACATACATGGTCCTGAGAAAAAGAAAGAAAAAAAATTGGTCAATTAAATGTCATTTCAAGGAATTCTGGCTCTCACAAAATCAAAATTAAATTTTTAAAACTACCTTTTCCTTCTAAAGTGCAAACCGCTGTTTCTTTCTTTCTTTCTTCTTGTTAAAAGAAAAAAAAACAAGTAGCAAAAGCTACTTGCTGAGGGGGCGCCGCCCCCCCCAGACCCCCCCCCCCTTTCAAATTATATATGTGAGACTTTGAGTATCATAGAAGTCGTGCGGCGACATGCCGAANAAACCAGTGGCACCATCGTGTTCCTCGTGAACTTACATACAAGAATCAACAGTCAAATTGCAAATGCCTCGCACATGTAACATCTCCATTGGGCCAAAATGCACCGATATCAATACTTCATATGTTACTTGGTTCCTCGAAAATTCTCCTCTTGGACTTAGCCTAAAAGTGTGGACACTTTTCAGCCTCCGGCGAAACCTAGAGTCTATACGGCTTCGCCGCACGACTAAAAACAAGTAGCTCATTGGACCTCTTTCAGAAGCCAAATAAAAGGTCTGGAAGGGACAAAGTCATCCAATAGTAGTCGGTGCTGTATTCTAATGAAATCTTGCATCACTCATAGCATGCGCAACTACCAACGTCATTGTCTACCAATAGAAAACTGAAACAACAGAGTCCAACTTCCAACTTCATGGGTTGATCTGCTCCGTAATTCCACAATCAGTTGCCTTTACCACAGTTGTTGATATGATCTACTATCAGCTTCTCCAAAGAGCCAATGACCGTTGCTGAAATATAATCTTATGCATCATGGCAGTGAGATTATTTGTATTTTCTCTACTTTTAAACATTTCTGGTACAGACTTAGAGGGCTCATACATAAGGTAAAGAAAAAGAAGCACTGAGATAAGTAAAGGACCTAGACCCGATTTACGAGTGTACAACAGCAAAACTGCTGCAAAACTAGATCCCGAGAGGGCACCTTAGGGTGCGTCAAAAAAAATGAAAGTCTGAAATGTTCCGCTCCCCAGGCGGCAATCGATGACGTTTGGTAAAAGAACATGTTTGCCAAAATTTGGGCCAATTTCAATCATTTTAAATGGTGCCAAAGGTCAATTTTGTGATGAAATTATGATATTTTGGTTTAGACCTCGATTTCGTACAAAAAACTCGATTTTACGCTGAAATCGTGCGTTTACGAGAAAAATGTCAAAGAACTCGACTTGTAGAGGATGAAATTTTACGCTAGGAGGACGTCTTTGTAACCGATAAAAATCAAATTGAACTAGAAAAACTCAACTCGGTATTTATTTTTTTGGTCCTCAGAATTTCCGAGGTCTTACTAAGTAGAGGTTTAAAAGACTCATTTTTCACGAAAATAAGTCGAAAGAGGGTATAAATGAACTGTAGGCAAGTGTTGAGGATGCAAATGTCATCAGAACTTCCTCAGTTTCAAAAAAAGTTCCAACTATTTTGCACAATCCTCCAAAAAGTGTACGACTCGAGAAGCAGGATCGTGCTATAATAGTAGGGGGAAAGTGCGGTTTGACCGGGAAAAATTGCGTAACAAACTTTCCCTATGTAATCGTCATCAGTAGGTCCCCCTGAACAACTTCCTAAAAGTTAAAAATGGCCCCACCCCGGAATATCCCTCAAAAAAGTTAAAATTGAAAATGGCGGCCGTAATAGGAGGGTCCGGGAAATCGGTATTTTAAAATGCTCATCCTGTCTCATCATGTGAGGTATCATTTCCTATGTAATTTTGGTCGTAGATTTCATAAATAAATTCCGCAAGGCCCTCCGGCCAAAGGGGGTGCTCCAAATCAAAGATGGCGGCCAAATGTGAAAGGCAGGAGGTTGCATTTTTTTAAATATTCACCGAAGGAACAAGGAAAGTGAAGTGTCTTTATTTGCATGTATTTATGGCCATGAGACTTAAATTTGATGTTATAAATGTATTTAATAAAGGAAATTAAAGGAAACATGCGACTACCGAGAGAAACGTAAGCTCAGAAGAGGCCTTGCGGAATTCATTTATGAAATCTACGACCAAAATTACAAAGGAAATGCTACCTCACATGATGAGACAGAATGAGCATTTTAAAATACCGATTTCCCGGACCCTCTTAATACGGCCGCCATTTTCAATTTTAACTTTTTTGAGGGATATTCCGGGGTGGGGCCATTTTTAACTTTTAGGAAGTTGTTCAGGGGGACCTACTGATGACGATTACATAGGGAAAGTTTGTTACGCAATTTTTCCTGGTCAAACCGCACTTTCCCCCTACTATTATAGCACGATCCTGCTTCTCGAGTCGTACACTTTTTGGAGGATTGTGCAAAATAGTTGGAACTTTTTTTGAAACTGAGGAAGTTCTGATGACATTTGCATCCTCAACACTTGCCTACAGTTCATTTATACCCTCTTTCGACTTATTTTCGTGAAAAATGAGTCTTTTAAACCTCTACTTAGTAAGACCTCGGAAATTCTGAGGACCAAAAAAATAAATACCGAGTTGAGTTTTTCTAGTTCAATTTGATTTTTATCGGTTACAAAGACGTCCTCCTAGTGTAAAATTTCATCCTCTACAAGTCGAGTTCTTTGACATTTTTCTCGTAAACGCACGATTTCAGCGTAAAATCGAGTTTTTTGTACGAAATCGAGGTCTAAACCAAAATATCATAATTTCATCACAAAATTGACCTTTGGCACCATTTAAAATGATTGAAATTGGCCCAAATTTTGGCAAACATGTTTTTTTACCAAACGTCATCGATTGCCGCCTGGGGAGCGGAACATTTCAGACTTTCATTTTTTTTGACGCACCCTAGGGCACCTCTATCAAGCAAGTTCGCCGTTGATTGCTACTACTACCACTACTACCTGAGACAGTTAAGATCTTCCTAAAGCATCATTAGAGTAAATTGAGCAATTAAATTAGTTGTTGCTTAAAAGCATTTTACCTTTGTCTGGAAACAAGCAAACAGATTGACAAGGAATGGATGCCTCATGGTGTTGGCAACTTCGAAAATTCGCTTTTCTGACAGGAGTGATTCTACTTCATCGCGAGCAATTATGTCTCCTTTCTTCAAAGCTTTAATGGCAAAGTATTCACCGGTGTTCCGATATTGAGATAAAATGACCTGAAAAAAGCAGTCGCCATTGTTAAAATAATTTCATTTCATTATTACACAGAAAATCTTTCTAATTATACAAGATTTCTATTCCTCTGAGGAATTACGAGAATTAATTATCACTCTAGATAGAAGCAATATATGCTTGCAAATATGGGTGCCATATTGCCACATTGCCATATGTGAGCTGATATTATAACACTATTTTTTGACCTTCATAAAGTTGAAATGGTGTCATTCTGGGAATTATTTTCTCGTAATATTTTGGAAATCAAAACTTTTGAACGAATTCTATAAAAATGTTTCGCTTAATACTTACATTTGGGTCACTATGACGTGCTGTACATGCAGTACATTCCTATCAAGGATTAAGACAAACCTGCGCTATCCCGTGATACCATTCATACCTATTTTACTTAACAATTTAATGATAATCGCTTAAGTTACATTACTTCCCCATTACAATACAGAGTAAGTGCTCCAAAAAGCATCAACTCTTCAAGATGAATTTGACCTTACCAGCCAAAGAGGCAACATCAGCCATGCTAACAGATATGGGGGAGGCTTGCCTCATTTTCATTCTAAAGTAAGATATAAAAACTTGGTGCTTGCTGTCCTGATTTAAACTTTTCCAAGATTCAAAAAATAATATATTTAGAGGTCTTAAGCATTCTTCTTACCGTTAGGAATTTTTCTATCATGAAAAAGTGCTTTGAATTCAAACTTCCTCATTTAATTAAAAAATGCAGACGGAATTAATGCTCTACCAAGTCATGATGACAAAACTTTTGTGAAATTAACAAAGAACAAAAAATTAACCATACAAAGGTGGAGAGACAACTAAGAAACTTAACAACTTGAAGCGAAGAGGATGGGGTCACAGGCCCCCCAAAATATTTTCCAAAATCATTTTGTTTTTATCAAACATACACATTTAAAACAAAAAACAGGCCTCACTAATAATTCGGAAAAAGCTTCATATAAAATTTAATAAAAAAAACTTGACACAGTTTATACATCGTAAAATCTTACCTTGCCAAAATGTCCTCTACCTAAAACACTTAGGAGCTTGAAATTCTCCAGATTCATAGATGGCATCAGCATAGAATGTCTTGGAGATTCATAAGCACTATCTCTATATTCTAAAACTCGGGCAGTCAAAGGCCGCTCAAACAGAGGAGGTGACTGAAAACAAACCCAGAATTATGAAGTTAGATCCTAGTTTACAACTGATGAATATATGAAAATCTGAATGAAGTTGTTCAAAAAGAGAGATAAAAGGTAACGCTTGTAAAGCAGTTGAAAGAAGAAAAAAGATTAGGTTTGGGAAAATTAGCATTCCTTCTGACAGAGATGATGGTCAAACGTGTGATCTGAATATAAAAGAGTAATTATTTTTTAAAAAGTATTACACTTGACTATTAGTCTCTTGTTATCACACAGTTCTGATTTTAAGAGAATGAAATAAAGATTAAATTTTTCCAGACAAGAATTTGAAGGGTACGCTACACACTGGGTCCAAGCAATTTGACACCAGCTAAATTTTGTTATTGTCCAATAGTATATTCCTTCAAATCTTGAGAAGTGTTAGGCTCAATAGGCGAATATTTAAAAGCACCAATATCAAGAAAAGCAAAACTGATATGCAAAATTATCAGAGTCTGTACACGCATCTTCTAGGAAAAACGTTGCAACTCCAGACAGGGGCTCAAAAAGAGCTCTCCTTTCTTTATCAGCCAAAGAGGATCTGAAGTTAAGACACACACCTCTAGATTGCTGCATTTCTTGGTCAAAAACAACCAACATTTTTCCAAGTCACAACATACAACACATCGTCCTGTTGTTTTAAATCCAACACAGAAGAGATACGGCATCTTTGTATGAAAAGCCAGTGTTAAAACTCTAGACCATCCGAATTTTTTTGATATTGGCACATGGAGAGCTTGTTCTTTGAAACACTGGTTGCTTTAATAACAGAATTTAACTAGCGCCAAATCTCTTGCTTTTAAATGCAAGGTCCTTTCTGACCTTCAAAAATTTAACCAACAGAATCTGGCATATTAATATAAAGATTGTTTCCACAGACAAGTTACGATACCTTCTCTATTCTCCTGTAAGTAAAATTTAGGTGAAATTTACGCCAAAATTGTGTCAAATTTTAAAATCACTCATATTGATGCTGAACACAAAATAATTGCAAAAAACCTAAACTTCATGTTGAAATTGTATAACTTTTACAACAACAACTTGGTGAAAAGCTTATCAATGTTAAGGTGACATTTTTTACGTAAAAAGAGGAAAAAGAATTTCCTAACTTGGCTATTTTCAAAGTTTTATTATGACTTTCCTCTTAGAACTTTATGACTAAAGCTTCTTTTTTTTATAACAGCCGATGCTACTGAGCGGATTTACCTTCAGTTTTCTTCGAGGACTGCATTAGAAACAAAACCAGATTGACATTAGCTTTGCAATGAGAGCCCAGTTGAAATTAGTCTGCCGGTGAGCAAAAACCATAACGCTCCAGTGCATCAAGATATTACTTCTAAGCACTCTCTTTTTTCTGTTTTTTTGCCGCTTAATAGTCAAGAGTCCTTCGATAAGAACTTGACTATTATTGAGGCACAAATGGACTGCGATACTATGAAATAAGGAACTAGTATTCCTGACTCATCCATAAAACCGCCTAGTTGCACAAGAAAACTAATGGCTTGTATCTTCATTTCTTAGAATAGCCAGACATAGTGGTTCCTTATTGCAAAATGTACTCCCATTGACGGTTTTCCGTCAAAATTGATATCAATAGTCATCAAACAAAACAACGAAGTTTAAAAAGTTAATTATTTTGTTAGAAACACATTAACTGCAGATAAGAGTTAAAATGATGTTAGCAGGGAAAGGGAAGACGAACACTCAGGGAATTTCTTTCACTTACTTACGACTTCGATAAATTTTACAATTTATTGATCAAGTTTTGAGAATCAGAAGATAACAGCTTTTTGTTAAAGTACTTCGCAAACATTTCACCACAAAATCCTACAGCAGTTATCAATACTCAAAGATATTAAGGTTATGATTGATTATATGCTTCATGTAGGTTACGAAAAATGAAGTGCTTTATACAGCTTCAGGTCTTGAAGTTTGTCCGACTGACTCTCAAAATTGAGCAAAAATCTGCACCACAGAGGGATAGACATCAAACATTCATCGATTTATGTATTGATCATTTGTCTAAAATGTCATAAGCAACTCGCATGCAAGGCAGATTAAACAGCGCTAAGATGATGACTAAAATGTTTTAGTGCTAAGAGTTTTGACAAGAAATTTAGGGCACTGGAGTTTCAAGAAATATTTTGATGGCCAACATCAGATCATTATTATTCGCAATGACATTTTAATCTAAAGAACATGCAGAGAGTGAAAGTCCAGGCACAGTTGTTTGTTATTTCTTTTTAGGAAATATACTTTACATATTTTATATATGTGTACTAAAGCCTTTTAAAACGATTAAAAACAAAAAACAAAAAAAACAACAAAAAAACATTTAAATAATGATTGATTGCTTGGTACATTATTCTGAGGAATTTCAGCAATTCCAATGATCTGCTGCGCTCCGAAACGGATAAAGCAACAAAAGAAAAAAAAGATTATATAATGGATGGGAAGGAATAAAAAAGGAAAATGACCTGGTTTGATGATCTAAGCATTGATTAAGCAAAACTAGAAGCAGGTATGGTAGATATAGTTATAGCTATCTGATTAACACTGAAGCATTAGCGGTGCAGTAGATAACAATAAACTTTGATGTCTCAAAATAAATTACGGAAAATTAAAAATCATACATATCAGGGAGAGATTATTTAAATATCCACTTTCATTTTCAGGAAGACCTTTTTTAAGAGTGAAGACTGAGCATGTACTTATTAAGAAGATTTCTCATTGAAGTCGAGCAAGAGTGAAAAATTCCAGTCAATTTCATCAAATTCCTTGACAATTCCCAGGCCCGATCTCATGCTTACATAAATCCTTAACAAAACTCAATAGTGCCATAAATAACAGCTGCTCAATTTCCAATCATCACTTGAGACTTGATTTTTAAAATTTTCCCAAATTCTATCAATTGAATTATAAATTTTGAGGACAGGTACTTTATTTTGATATTCTAAAGAGAATACCTCACTGTTTTAGGAGCAAGGACAAAGGATCAGAAGGGGGAGGGGGGGCATAACATATTTCTGTCCGCTTAAATTGAAGCAGCCGAGGAGAGGTTGATGAATCTAATAGATCAATCAGGATTCCCATGTTAGTTGGTCGACACAGAAGCGAGCAAGCTCAGTTGGGAAGCTAAAGAGTGAGACAAGATTAAATATACCTCATCCTGGGGGAACTCTATTAGAGGGGATATTTGAGGGGTGGAAGGGGTGGAGAGCGTAACAGCGACAACACTCAGTCCACCTCCCTCCTCGTCGACTAGAAAATCAAACTGTTGAAGGGCAAGCTGGAGCTGAAACAATGTTCAATAACTTGTTTCATTCGTTGTTTTCAAGTCACTTCAAAGGGCAAATAAAAAATTATCACTACCGTAAGTTATTGGTTAGTAACTACTATTATTTACACGGAGATGGCAAATTTTCACCTAGATACGAACTCACATTAAATTTTAGTTGCTTCTAACTGAAGATTGCTCAAAATAAAACGTAGAGTATGAATTTCTTTATTGTGTGAGAGAAATATGAAATTAAAGAAAAATGTGACATTGTACGGGAGCTTTCATTTGCAGCTTGCATAAAATATAAATTGTATAGACACACATCTTAAAAAACTGCTGTCTCCGATTCAACTGTCTATCCATTGGTGGAATTTCTTATTACAAAAAGGCAATCCAGTAAAATCCTATTTATTTACAAGATTAATTTACACTAGAAATAATTCTTCTTCAGAAAAAGCGTTTTAAGAAATCCTTTGAAGGAGAAATTTCAGTTAAAAATATTGATAATCAGAGATAATAAGTATCGCTATAGAACTCCAGACCCTTTTCTCTGAAACGAAACTCAAAATAAATTGTTCCGATAAAATTTTAGGCTTAAAAAAATTGTTAACACTTACAAAAACATTCATATTAAATTTTCCAAGACTTCTTGAACCTGCAGATACCCTGGCATACATCTTAATGCATCTTATTTCTCAATATACACTTTTTTTTTTTTTTTTTCCTGAAAAAAAGGAGTTTCTGAGTTTCAGTACCTTCAGAACCGAATTTCCGAAAAATTATTGTGCAAAAAATGCTCTGCTTGCAAACAAAAACTGTGTGTGTGTGCTTGCCTTTGAAGCATTGGGAAGCGTACAATCACCAAAGTTCAGAATACAGCTAGCTACACAAGACTCAGGCAGGATATCTAACATCTAAGAGAGACTACAAACGAGAGGGATGGTCGAAAAAAGCGTCTTACCTCTGGATCATTCCTCGGAGGAGGAGTAGGGGGAGGGGGAGGCGTAGGCAGCGTGGGGGTAGGCCTCTTTTTGGCTGAGGCCACAGTCGAGGGTAGCAGAGGGTGAGAAGGCACTGAGTCAGGCGGGAGCGGAGGAAGAACTGCAATCCCCAGACCGAGAGGCCGTGCTCCTGTCAGGCCAGTTGCTTGAGGATCGGGAACTTCTCCAGGTGCTTCTGGCTTGTCCTCTACTTCTATCCTCACTAAACATAAGAAGTTTCGGCTTAATTGGAATTCTTGAGAGAAAAAAAATAATAAAACTCAAAATTGAGGGTATTTACTCGGGAGCAAAGTCGCAACGTGATGAGTACAGGTCTTGTGTACATTGTGAACTTCCACTATCACATTTGATGCGGCTTTAAGGTGAATCACACCCAACCGTATTCTAAAAAAGACTAAAGTTCTGAAATTGAAAAACCAGAAAAACACACAAAAATGTTTAAATCAACCTGTTCCAAACCTCAAATCTCAAAAATTTTAAAGCATTTAATTGATTGATCACACTATCACTTAACCTAGGATTTGGAAAGAGTCGATAGAAACAGTTTACATGGTTTTTCTTGCACTTTGATTTCTGGTGCTTAAGACTTAATGAGAATGATTGATTCAAAAATCTAACTTACTATTTGATCTACAAGCCTGAAATATTTCTGGTAGATTTATCAATAGTTGGCTGTGATTAGGACGAATACAGAGTTTGAAACCTTTAAAAATGACTCAATTTCATAAACTTTTGAAAGGCTTAACTTGCAGATTGTAATAATACTATTATTAGGAATACAATTCCTCCCCTAGCCAATTTCAGCTATCTGTTTTAATAGAAAAAACATATCTCAAAAACTCTTAGTTTTGAGCAGAAATTACTGGAACACACCGGTCAGGATTCATTTGATCATCAGTCAATCTGAAAAATGATCTCTACATTCGTATTGTTGTAAAATTTTTTGGGAGATGGTTTTTCAACAAAAGCTACAAAAAACATCTCTAGTTATAGTGGATTAACCATTTGAAGAAAATTTTTTTGAATATTTGGATGGAACAGAGGAACTTATTTCTGCGGATAAAAAATTGAAAGGAGAACCACGCAGAAGAGAAATTTTGGAGATCATTTCAGGGAAGGACAAGCTTACCCGAGGGTGGACTTTCAGAGCTTGTTCTGTCGTTTTGAATGGATGGCGAAGACCGCTTTAGCAATCGGCCCCAGGTGGCGACATTAATGTTCATTTGGTTGGCTCTGGGGAAATTCTTTATTTGCTGCTTGAAAATCTTTCGCTGCCGCTGCAGTTTTGGTTTCCGTGATATCATGGGATTAAGGAACTTGATCTGTGAATAAAGTGAGACAATAAGTTACAAGCTCAGAAATAGATGTAAGAGTAATATTATGACCTTCAGAGTGTATATGGACTCAACAAGAAAAGGTTCTTGGAATTTTCCAGGTTGTCCCTGACCACAGTGACAAAAATTCACTGACTTTTCTCATCTGCAATTTCACACACTTAAGACAAAAAAATGAACCGTTTTTGGAATTGATTTTGCAGCAAATGACCTTTAAATGACATAAAAACCTTTTAGTGTATTTAACGTAGAAAATACACAATTTTTTCTTTAAATATTAGTCACTCAGTTGACTTAAAATTGCAATTCCTTATAGGAAATTATCCCCTTCCAGAACAGTGAGTACCAAACCAAATTGTGTACACATTGCTAATTTTTCTATGAATATTAAATATCTAAATTTTTTTTTCAAATTTCCAGCTTTTTTTTCAGAAGATTCTTCTACTTTTTCCGATTTTCCTGACTTAATGAAATTTCCAGACAATTCTCAGTTTTCCAGATTTTTCAACATCCTGTCTTCCAAAAATAATTCTGCTGATACCACTTCGATGAATTAATGAAACTCAATCAATGACTTGTCAGGATACCTTTATTAAAAAATAATATGAAAAAAAAAGCACTTGACTCAGGTAGATGAATAATAATTATTCTATTACAAATCCCTGCTGCAGAATGAGCTACCTATTTCAATGGTGTAACTATTACCAATCTGTCATAGAGCCACTTAAAAATATACGGCTCTCAATCGATATCAAATTGAAAGGGATGCACTTAAGTTGTCATCATGTTAAACCAGGAGTTCTTGATTCTTGAAAAAATATGGTAATAAATGTTGAATAACTCTCACTGTTATAAGATCAATTTCCCTTCTTTATTTCTTAAATGAGAGTGTTCAGTGATGTCAACTGACAAATGACTTCCACTTTAGTTACGGCTGGACATTTTTCTGAACAGTCTACAATAAATTTTAGACCTTGACTAAATACAAGATCGGGGAAGAGAAATTAAACATCAGAAAAGACTAGGCAACACTCTGAACAAACGTACCTCTGCAAAAAGAAGACCTTGAGGCTCTAACTGGAGAGCCATTCCATGCCGGATATCATCAATGAATTCTTCTAACCTAAGAAACTTGACAGCACAAAGGGAGCGCCAGTCACGCCAAAAAATACCTATCTCTAGTTCTCTGGATTTGTCCAAGTCTATTGAAAACCTGAAAAAATTCATAACTTGCAAATATAATGAGAAAGAAACCAGGAACTGTGCAGACTTCACCTCAATTGACTAAAGTAAAAACACATGGAATTAATGAACTGGCTCAAAGCGGCTCATGCCAATTTAAATGAGAATTGTTTATTTTCATAGTTTTTAGTTTCTTTTCACCTGATACTGTTATGCATCCAAACTCCGTAGAGTTTCCTTCATCCCACAGGTTTTAAATCTTATCTAATCTAATGTTATGAACCCAAAAATTAATAGTGTAAATGGGAGAAAGTAAAAGTAGAAAATGGAGCCATCAGAGAGGAATTATGTAGTTCGACAAAAGCTAGGGTGAATCATTGCTTTTTACCGTTCACAATACATTTTCTTGTATTGCTTCAGTGTTATAAAAGTGTTATTAGCTTATAAGTACTCATACTTACATTTTCCATTCATTCCTTGAAAAAACTGAGGTTTTAACATTCATTTTTAACTTGTATTGTACTACTACTTGCAAATTGATGTACAAAATGTATTTCCTTTAAACCAAGATTTAATTCGAGTTTGAAGAGAGTCGAGTATCATTTTTTGAGGCAAAATCAAGATCTCAAATCCAGTGAAAACATAAAAAAATCTTAGGCATTATTGAAATCCTCGTTTGTACCTGTCAAAAACGGAAAGGGGTATATTCGTACATTATTCTTTTTTCCTTTGACTGGCTCTTACGTTCTCCTTTTGCACACAGAATAAAGTTGAAACAATTTAATTTTAAACTTAGCAAAGATCTTCGAAGTTTACTTGAGATCAAGATTATCAATTGTTGGCTTCTTCTGATGATATATTTTTGCTTTTCATTTTCTTAAATAAAAAATTCACTAGATTGAGAATATTTCGCTGATTGTCGCAGATTGACCCCCACAAATAATACTAAAGTAGCTAGCTGATTTCTGCCCGCTGACCTACACACAGTATAATGAATAAGCTAATTGTAAGATGAAGCACAAACCTTTGGTCCCAGGCCTGCTGTGAACATGGTCTCCAACTTGTCTGAGCAACAGTTTGATTATCTAACTTTATAACAGCCATTATTTCATCTAAAATTTTAAAAAAGACATTATTGATAATTTATTCCAGCAGAATACAATATATTTACTGCGATAATGTGAATTTCACAGAGATTATAAATAGGGTGAAAGTGCTTTAAAAACAATGTTTTGAGAGATACAGTATTAATGAAACAATTCAAAAGGAATTTCTCTTCGTTGTATTATGCCTTGCCTCATTCATGCTGATATTATATTTTTAAGTGGACTACATTTTGCGATATGAAACTACAATTTTTGGCTCAGTTGACATACAGCGTAGGTAATATTGGTTTTCCCATGCACATAAGTGTTTTTACAGATGAGCTACAAATTGTAGTTCCTAATTGCAAAATATAGACAAACTGAAAATCAAGCAACGTTCTGTTTTGAAATTTTACAAGTATACTCTTGATACATAATTGGAGGAATTTCCTAAAAATTTTCAGGGCACTATGTTTCGTAGTTTTTGGTTTAAAAAAAAAAAAAAAAAAAAAAAACGAACAAAAAAATAAAAACTTCGAGAGACATTTGGCAGCAGGCAATAAAGTAGGGCTGAGTTTAATTGCAGCCGTCCAGTTTTAGAGCTACTTATTGAAAATCAGAGTTCATTGAGTGGGCAAGATGATACTACAGCGAGATGAATTTATGAGATAAGTCTGCTTTTTCGGCATCCTCTGTATCGTACCTATTACAAGCTATATTTACTTGAATTGAATATGAGCTATCAGCAACTCAAGTGGAGCCTTTAGCTCATTATTAGTTTCATGCAACATGGCCTGACTAAAGCACTATACAGAGGATGACTGACAAAGTTGACCAACTTCACCGTTTCATTTAATTCTTGTTCTGCCCGGAGAACAATCGGACAATTATAGAAGTAGATTTGAAGTGTGGGTAGTTTTAGTTTCCATTCTTCAAGGCAAAATTTAAGGATTAAAATGTTATTGTAGATTTAATATTGTCAGGTGGTTCTGGTCTTAAAATTGAATTAATACTTTTCAAGAGAGTAAAGGTCCATTAGAACATTTAAACATCGCAGTAAAAAGTTCAATTTTGTACAAGCAAACTACAGAACACCTCTTTAAAAATTCACAAATTTTGTTGCATTTTGTTGGTGATGGTTGAAGAATTTTCCATTATCTCGCTTAGTCATCCCATCTATTCATATAAAATATCTTCAACAAGTTTAAAACCTTACAATGAACGAATGCCCTTGTAAAAAGCATCAATTCAGTTCTTAGCAAGGGTAGAGCTACCCAGAAACAGCTTGAATTCTCTGAAACTGGATTGTATGTGATTGATTCTGCCAACCTATGTCACATTAGAACAAAATTACCTAAGATGAAAGTCTGTTTATCGCTGGTGATTTATGATGTTGGTAAAAGTTGAAATTATTTTTCTGTTTTCAATTAAAATTAAATCAATTCAATCACTTGCTAGAGAATGACCAACATCAGAGAGCATTAAACAAAAAAAAATTAGTCTTTAAAAATTGAGCTTCAAATGTATTCTATAAGAATGTTGTGTAAACTCAATAGGAGTTGGTCTGATGTACTTACTACTTGTTTCATCCTTGACACTGTACGATTTACTTGAGCTCCTTCCAGTGACACCTTTAACAAAAGACCGCAGATCACTCGGACTGGATGAGTTCTCCTTCTCTCTTCTTGATCTTCCCGGCACTTCCTCTAACAAGTCCTGACAACCCATCAGTCTACACAAAATGAAAAAACATGGGGATGAAATAAGACCGCACGTAATGAGGCAACAAATAGAAACTAAAAGGTGAAACTAGAGAGTTCTCATCTTAATTTGCGTCTGATTATCTGTCCTCTTATATTTGTTTGCCAGGGTGTCTCCTAAAACTGGCAGTCTAAAAATCCATTCTTTGGCAATGCTTTTAAGGTACTTATACAAAAATTTGATAACTCTTCAACAGAAAATTTCAGTACTTTTTAGTGTCTTCATGTGGCAAAATTTAAGCAGATCGCAAGAAAAATGACGTAGTTACAAAATTTGTGGCGCTTTGGTGGCATGGAAATCAACTGGCTGTACAACTGCAATCTAGCACACAAATACTGCACTTAAAATCAATGCGCAATGGACATCATTCTTTCCATGCTATCTTAAAGACCATCGAGCTAAAAATTCCAGACCCCTTTGAGAAATTTCCGTATTTTCTCCAAGCCTCAAAAGCACCCTAAAAAAAGCAGTAGGTATTGTTTCCAGACCAGTAAAGACACTGTTCAACAATGAAATCTCATTCGATTTTAATTGGGCCTTTCAAAGATTATCTTCAAAAATGTGTGGAAAAATTTCAAGTAATATCTTCCTGGAAAAACAAAAATCTCCCATGCAAAGGAGTGGTAAAAAATAATTTAAGTGAAAATGAAGTCACCTATTGGGATATTAATGAAAATACTTTCATAGTTGCTGCAAAAGTCAGTCCAAGTCATATTGGCAGCTTTATTTCTAGCCCAGCATGGCAAAAATAAAAGCGCACAGGAATACAGCAAAATTCCAACACTACAAAACAACAGATTCTGTCAATCGCTTTAATGCTTGAGCTTCCTGATAGTTTTGTAAGTCACTAGAGCTCTACGATTAGTTCCATGGAGGATCTGCAAAAAACACTTCTACTGCACGGCAGTGTGATAAAAACATGTCTTTTAAAACTCCGGATACTGTGACTGCTTTGGCCCAACACAGCCAGTAAAGAAATGACTGGCTCAAGAAAATAAGTTAAGAATAGAGGAATAAACATAACTTAGTGACATCTATTGAGCAGTACTATAATGAAAGCAATACATAATCAATGACGAACAGATGGGTATCGTGCTTACCGAACTTCTAGTTTGCCGGTGACTGCAGCACACCTGGAAAGCGATGAGACCGTGGGTTTGCCTTCATAGCCTTGGTTGGATGGAGATCCTGGGAACGGCTGAAGACTAACGTATGTGACTGGTAGGGGACTGGCTGCTTGTACGCTTTGTAGTTCTTTCTTGAGCTGAGCTGCGGCCACCGAATCTGGAGGTAACTCCTGTCTCCTGAGTTCCAATGAACGACGCAACAGGTCTAATTTACGACTCGACTCTGATAAACTTGCTTGAGCCTGAAACCATACAAGAATCTTATAGGCAGGTTGTAAACACAACTAAAAGCCCTTTCGCAAAAATTATGATCGTTCTAAAGAAACCAACAACCAAATTAAATATGGAAAAACAATAGAGATCCACAAGAAAAACCGAGTATAAAAATGAGGGATAGCAGAATGGCTAAATAATGTTCCTTACTGCACACCCGTGAGAGGGTCCTTGCCAACATCATAAATGGAAATCTACAGTTGTGAATGATAGACTGATTGGATAAATCTTGGGCTTACTCCTTTCTTGATAGGGAACATCTAAAGAGCCCTTAAGAAACAGATAAATGGACTAGACTCAAACCATAATAGAAAAATTAGGTTCCTGTTGAAATTGAACGTTATCCTACTGTATACAAAATTTTGAAAAAACTTGAAAATAGGAGGAGTGGGAACCAGGGAAAACAAATCTATAAGTCATGGAAATTACACACTCGAAAATCACATATTGATAAGCAAATTGTGTCCATTTTTGAGTTCATACCAGGTAAGTTTACGCTCTATTAGACTGTAACATGAGATCGTCTGATGTCACTTTAGCTTTAAAAGTAAAACTCAGAATCAAGATGGCAGATCTTCTCTCGCAGTCTACAAGGGTGTTAACTTATTTGACGTGGACTCTAACAGTTTCATTTTATCATCAATGTGAAAGGGAAGGATTCAGGATTTGCATTGCAAACTCACCTCAGAGAAAGAGAAATGAGCTGAAATGCATGATACAGCAGTGAAGTTGCTTGTGATTACTGGAATTTCGAGGTAATATTTCCTACAAATGCTTTTTTGTTTTTTCAATTAATTTTCCTTTCACCGAATTCTTGACAGTGGTAAAGAAAAGCTTGTTGAAACGTTAATAAAGCTAAAACCCTCTAGGATTTTGGGTTTCTATAAAAAATCGAACGCAGCTCTGACATGAACAATCTGGATTTTTTGAGGGTCCTACATGCTGTCCAGGCTTTTTCAAAGAACCGATAGCCGGCCCAAATTTCTTTATTTTAGTAAAAAAATCATTAGCCCCACTCCCATCACTTGAGACAGTCATTGAGGAGGAAGAGGAGGATTTCGTTTCAAGACCAGATTTGTCTGAGGTGACAGGACTATCTATCGATAAATTTCTAAATCCTGAATCAGATGTGATTGTTTCAAGACCATGATTGGAAGCACTCTTTCTGTCACTAAACGAATCTAGGTTTTGATTCTGTTCTATGTATGAGCTGTCTGATGCCTGGCTGACATCTGAGCAACTGCCAAAAGTCCATGCAAGTTCCGATCCACTGTCGCAATCTGATTCATCACTAGAGTCAATCTTGGCTTGAGCTTCAGCCACGCAACCATACAGCTCTCGTAAATATTGCGCTCGTTCTGCACCAACTGATCGCCACGGTTTGGAAGGATTCGACCATTCCTTCTCTTTTTCTTTGATTCGAAAAATATCTCTTGAATTGGCATAGTCAAAACTATCGCACTCTACAAGACTAGCGTTGCTGTTTGGTGAAGATCCTAAATCAGAAGATGTCTTCCAGGAAGAAACGTCTGATTTTGATCCGTAGAACTCACTAAAAGATTCATTAATAGACCTTCCGCTTTTCACAGTGGACATGGATAGTATTTTAGGTGAGTTCAAAAAATGCTCGGATTCAGAATTATTATAAGAGCTCATGCTACTATAAGTTCCACACATAGGAATGGAAACTCTAGAGCTGCAAGGAGAAATTTGTGTGCTAGTGGAAGAATTAGTACTTTCTAAGGAGGTGACCGATTCACGTAGCGATAAGTCTTCATAAAGTAACGATTTTGCTGATGTTACTGACGATGACTTGCATTTCTTGTTACCATTAGACAATTTTCTGGGGATAGTTACACAAGAGGCATTAGACTCTTTTGAAGTATTCACTTGATGTTCTGGGAGATTTATTCTCCTCATAGAAGTTTTCGAAAGACACAGGGAGGAATTTGAATTCATATTAGATATGGTAGGCGTCCGAGAGGTTGATTTTTTGTGGCTCCCTGTGGATTTGTCCGAAAGCACTCTCCGTGATGTATCACTTTCCTTGGAAACATTAAGATAGGCAGTAGGAGAGTTAAAACTTGAGTTTGAGTCGTTTGAGGAAGCAGGATTGAATTTGGAGGAAGCTACAGTTGCTGAGTGTGGCAATCCCTCATCATTTTTAATTCCCCCTTTCAATTCTTGAGATGATGAAATACTCACAGAGGAGTCAAACTGAGGAGAACTTTGATCGAAGGCATTGACAGAGCAATTACTGAAAGTGTGTCTTTTTTGGCGAGCGAGTGAGTAAGCTGAGGCGGTGCTACGGAGAAAGGATCTAGATGTGTCCTGAAGAATTACAGTCTTTCGAGAACTGGAGGAGCTTTTGCCTGAACCATTCGAGGATGTATTTTCAAGTTCACAGCTATTTTTTTCAGACGCTAATTGCTGAAGATTGGGTGAGATACCAATGGAAAAAGAATCTTCTGCAAGGTTTTGTGAAAAAGAGAGCTTAGTCAAAAGCTGCCTGGCTGCACGTGGATTTGTTTTCTTTGATTTATCCGGGACTCTAGCACAAAAGTGGGAGGTAAAGTTTTGCCCTTTCAAACATTCGCCACACACTTCACAATGACTCAGTAAATTTTCTTCTTTCATTTTGTGACTATGAGACGATTTGTCGGTCAAATAAACTGGTTTTGGGTTTTCAGAGGACACTAAAATTCTTTCATCAGGTACACTCGTATTATTCCTCTTGGAGATGAGCTTGCGATGTGCTGCGATAAAACTGCAACTATCAGATAGCGGTTTTGGTTTAGTGGTGAAAAGAATACATCCTCGTTGAAACGCATAGTTTGGAGATGAAGATTTGGCATTAATAGGGTTCAATTCACACGGTAAAAACATATCATTCCAGTCAGACCTCCCAACAAGGCTTACGTTGATTGAGGATTTTTTTGATTCAGTTTTCAGTAACGATTCCTTTTCATGAGACATCCTTAACAGTCAACCACTCCGAGTAAAATTTAATAGTACGTACACTTGAATGCGGCTTGAAAGGATTGACAGTGACATTCAATGACTGCTCGTCCCCTCATGGATAAAAATAGCTATTCAATCAATCACTGCGATTTCTTTGCGAGTGCACAAAAGCAGCAAGGTAGCACAAGGTCAGGGGTAATTTTAAGACGGGTCAAATCTCAGGTAGGGAAGTCACCATAAACGAGAGAGTGATTGTTAAAGAATACTGGAAAATAAATTCACCCAATTCATAGGGTTGTTTTATTTTAGAGGAAACTTAATCGTCGTTAATGAAAATTAAATGTTCCGTTTAAGAGGAGAACTTCACATCCAATTTATCAGTTTTAAAAGGAAACAAAAATATATTAAATACACTAAAAAACATGTAAAAGTTGCAAAAAAAAGTTTTATATATATTAAAATTAGAGGATTCACTTCACATTTTGATCACTAACATTCACAGCAATGCACTGTAAATGATGAGAAATTGATTAAACTCTAATCACAAGTCATTGTGGAAATTGAAAAATGTTAAAAATTTAAACTGAAAAAAATGAAGATCACTTCGACTGGAAATGCAAATTGAAAATTAGCATTCGATTAGACTTTGAGAGGGGAGCGTATCAACGGAGAGACACACTTAAAATGAGTCCAAAGCCAAACTGGTAAACTTGACTGTTAAATAACCAGGCACGATGCCAAGATAATAAACTATGTCACATTCTGCAGTATCATCATTAGACTCGGGATGAAATTACATGAGCGACACTTGTAGTCTGGGCAACCCTGCAAAAAATAGGACTGAACCAAAAATATTCAACTCCTCTTTACTGCCCACCAAGTTCAAGGCTTTTAATGGATTTACTGTCAGTCACAAAAAAGATGCTCTAATTTACTCTTTCAAACATGAACACACTAGCCAAACAAATTCGGTCTGTGAAGTGCTTAGCTTCCAAATTCAATCAAGAGATGGAAGCAGGGACTAAGGTGAGAGCGCAAAGAGGGATAGCTGATAAAGGTTTAAGTCAATGAAAAATTCCAAGGAAATAAAAAACAGGGGAGAAGTTTATCACACTGCAGATGGAAATATTTTTGAGAAGGGATTAAACAAATTTTCCATCATCTTATAAGATTATTAACAATTGGTGAATTGAATATTTTGATGCCTGTGAGTGTTTATTTTTATGTTCAAGCACTGGAGAGAGAGGGAGAGAGAGAAAAGGGGGGAACTCTTCTTAAATTTTCAACTCTTTAGACCTTCTTGCAGGAAATTTTGTCACATTCATTCTTCGACCTACTTTAAAAGGGAAATTTTGATTTTTGAAAAACATCCTACTCATGGAATGTGCAGACAGAATCACATTGTAAGAATTCAATGCAAATCGAATACATCTAACACACAAATACATATTTTGAGTTCGAGTTGTATATTTAGATTCTTAACAATTTATGTTGTTCTAACCTCGGCTAGACAAATTTTAACGAATTCACTCATTTAAATTAGATTGTAAAACCATCTGCAGGATAAAAGAAGAAACATCCACAGTCAAACAAGGGAAAATTCTCTTGTGGTGATCAACATTAAAAAAATGAAGAAAATATGTACTTATATTTACCTCTTGTAATGCTTTCTTGTCCGCGACCTTTGAACTTTGTAACAGTCTGATAACATTCTTTGCCCCTTCGACAACAGCAGCTTCTATTCTAAGTCTATGCCTCAACTCCTCAATTCGTTCTTCTAAGGGTGGTTCTAACGTGGGTTTATAGGAGTCTGAAATAAGGGAAGAAAAATAAGTACATAAATAAATGAAAAAGCGGACAAAAGCGAAAGACGAACTAAAAAAATGGGTAGGAATGTAGTAAAAATCTGTGCAAAAATGAAAGAAACTAGTCTTTGATAATTTTGAAAGATGGCTTTTTCACAAACTCATAATTAACTATGCAGAGGAGGGATTGATCTTTTGAGCCAATCTTCCAATGGATAATTCATCCTAAAATCCTTCCTCGATTTAAAATAGTGTAAAGATAATTCTAAAGGAAGTATCCTCAAGTTTAAATAGCTTAAGTCTAAAAATGATTTTTGCGTTTTTTAAATAACTTGGGAATAATTATTTTTCTTTGTTAATGATTTTAAAGTCGATTAGAACTTATTTCCTTCTTGCTGAGATTACTTAACTCTCTTCCATTCATTTTTCGAAAATTTCTTGAAAAGGTTTTTAGAGTAGGTACCACTCCCAGGACATGCTTTAATTTTTCTGAGGACAATCATCAACGCTGTAATTATTTTCACCGGATTATTTGCTTTCATTTGCGAGGTTGTTACATAAAAGAAACTGGTGAAAGTCATGACAATTTTCTCTGAAATATTCGAAACTTAATTATGTACTCTGGAGTTTTTGGTGGGCTATGCCAGATCAAAGAGGTTTATGGGTGTTTAAAGCCTTGATAAATACTAGAAAACCCACAAATAATCAGAATTTTGCAATAGGAAACCACAATTTCTGGCTCATTTCAGAAACAACATATATATGCCTTTGGTTTCCATTCGTAGAATGCGTAGATAGGTGCTTTTACGGATTTTTATGGATGAGCTAGCCATAAATGAAATCCAAAAATGCCGTACAATATGCAGCTGCTTTCTAGCTTCTGGAGTGAAATTCATACCTTTACTATTTTGTGAATCTCCATTTGAGGATGAGTCGTTCATTCTATTCTGTTTGCTTTGTTTCTCCTTCAAAATTCTCATCTTCAAAAATTCAATTTTAGCTTTGGAGTCAGCAAGCATCTGCTGCGCTTCTGCAAGGAGTTTCTTATCCCTCGAGTGGCCGCTAGTTAGACTCTGAATCATGTTCTCTGCCCCATGTTTCACCTGTAACAAAGTTAGGTTGTGATAAGTAACACAACTTGATTGCTGATTGAACATTGGATAATAAATGGGGAAAGAGATCAAACATGAAGACAGTTTGTCAATGGCTGAAATTGAAAAATATGTACCTCCTTTGGAGCGATTCAAAATATCCTACCAGGTTTCATTTTTTTGAAAGGAAACTAACTAAAACGTCTCCTCGACATTTTCTGCGCGCATCTATGTGTGAGTAAGAAAAATTCATAGAAAATTTACAGAACAAACATTGGTCACTTGGTTAGTTACTTGTAACTTTTACAAAAAAATGAACAAGCTAAAACCTGAGCACTAACTTGAGAATGAGGCAATCCTTTCGAGACTTTGTGCCCGGGGCGTTCCGACATCTGGCTTCACGATGATGTTCGCTGACGATTCGAACGCGGAATTCGAACGCAGAGCTCTCGATTTTAAGTTACGACGTTCTCAACGAATAATCATACACCATCTACCTACTTTTGATTTCGATTTGCCAATAACAACGAAAGCCACTCCAAACATAAAAACGCTACCAGAGAAAAAAAAAGAGGGGGAAAAAGGAAGGATAGGGGCAGTGAAAACGCCTCAAGATAAGCTGAAAATGGTTTAAATTCGTCGTGTAACTATGCCAGGAATTCAAAAATTAAACCAGAAGTCTCGCAGACAGAGCACCGACTTAAAAGGAGAAAATGGTCGATCAAAATTTTCCTTTCAAATAAGTGTCATTCAAAGTTTCAGGGAAAGGAATAGCACTTATTCTGAAGGGATCGAAAAAATTCTACGCCTCCATCGATCATCGTTCCAGATGTGTATGAATGAATGTTGTTCTATATGCTTTTAAGAGTTTGATATCACCGAGAACTTCGATATGGCGAAATGGCCTTGTATTTTTCTCAAAAAATTTTTCAAGGAAATTTAAAGGACATTTGAGGCATCTGAGTCCTGAGATTAAAATAAAGTTTTCGCCAGAGTGAAAAAATCGTGTGAGTTCTAAACGACGGATATAATGAAAATGGTTGATTATGAGCTCCAAAGTGGTATTTTTCTTTTCTTTTCACATGGCAAATGTATCATGAGACTAGTAAATTCGAATCGCTTCTCCCTCATTTTTCACACCTACATGAGTTGCAATACATTTTGCGGTGAGGAGCTACACTTTCTAACTTATTTTAGGAACAACATATGTGCCATTAGTTTCCCTAACCACGTAAGTGTTTTTATGAGTCAGAAGTTTTAGTTCTTAATTGAAACATGAAGTCCAATTGAAATTCGTCCGTGAAAAGTAAAAAGAGGTCACCCAGCTTTCAACGCGCCCCATTCCCCAAGACACTATACGCAGCGATTGATTCCATCAACGACTTAGTGACGAAAATTCGCGTTCACCCCCCACGCACACCACGTGCAAGGACTGACCGACACAACCGTCAAAAATTTTTAAGAATGTTGCTGCAGAACGATAACCTTGTTACGGTTCGGGGTTTCCAGCACGTTTCAAAGAAAAAAAAAAAGCCCTATGATAACTCCATAATTTCGCAGATTATAATTGAAAAATTCTCCAACTATCGCCAATTCTTCCGATTTCCATGATATTTTCCTGATTGCTCGAATCCAGTGGATTTTCCAGAAATTCCCTTATTGAAATTCCGCAAAACTGTTTTTCCTTTATTCAAATGTATGGGAAACAATCGATTCTTGGCGAGGCAGCTTGCCGCACCGAAGATCGATATTTTTAAAGAATTTAAACGGAGGAAAAACGGTGTTGTCAACTTGCAAAATTCCTAGTGTTGGTATCATTAGTATTAAAGGAGAAAACCATATAAAAAAGAATGAATTTTTTTTTTCGCGGGTTCCATGATGTTTTCCCGCGCGTTTTGATGCCGATAATATTCGCGTTTTTCAGGTTGTAAGCTACTCTGGATTTCGCGTCTTTTCGCGAAAGAACAAGGATTAGTCGAAAGATTGGACTTGCTGAGAAAAAGAACTCTTCATTTGAACCGTGAGCACGGTGTTCTATGTACATACATCGACTATGCTGCTCAGTTCATGTAACTTTACTCTCAGCTCTGGGAACCGGCAGGGCCGGATTAAGGGGGTAGCCACATGGGTCGCGGCCCATGGCGGCAAATTTTGCAATTTTTTTAAATGTAGGTATAAAAAAAAATTGGATTTAGAAAAAAATTACGAACAAAATCTCTCATTTCCTGAGAGTATAGTAATTTCTAATTTTGTCGTCTTTCGGTGATACAAGAGACAGCACCTTAAATTAATCGAGTTAGGAGAGAGACCAAACACGCAATTTGGCCAGGAACGGCGCGACTGAGAGAGAAATGATGACGAGGACTTGAGATGAAAAGGAGAAGCCTTCGGCGCGGCCGCAGCGGTCGGCATGTAACACATATTAGCGCCTACAAGACTACACGAATACTTCTCGCATTGCATCAAACACAGTGCGGTCACTGCGGTCAGCGAGAAACGGATAGCGCCTACAAGAATGCATGAATATTTCACGCATTGCGCCAAACACAGTGCGGTCAGCGTGAAACGCATAGCGCCTACAAGACTGCGTGAATACTTCGCGCGTTGCGTCCAACACAGTGCGTTCAGCAGCGGTCGCGTCTCGCGTCGGCGTGAAACGCATAGCGCCTACAAGACTGTCGGAATACTTCACGCATTGCGCCAAACACGGTGCGGTCTGCGCGGCGCGGCGGCGGAAGTTAAAATTATTGATCCACATTTATGTTTGTTCTTTCATAATTTTTTCGTTCATCTCTTATGAATGGAAGGCCTTGTCCACACAGAGATAGGTTTACGGAACTTAACTTTCGCGCAAAGTTCCGTGAACTTTTGCTAGTAGTGTTAACAGGGCTTTCCCAAAAAATGTTTCGAACACAAGTAAACGCGTCTTATGCACCCCACCCCCGCTGGCACGTTCACTTGATGGTTTTTATTGATGTTTCAAAACGAATAGAAGGGGGCGGCAAAATACAGGCGACCCATGGGCGGAAAAATACAGAAGACCCATGGGCGGCAAGTAGGTAAATCCGACCCTGGGAACCGGTTTGGGTTGAAAGCTGGGTTGCATGAGCCGATGCTACAATAACAGAACCAGGAGTGCGGTTATACGAACCATACAGTGTGGCTCATATACAACAGCGAACAGTTCATAACACCGAACTTGTTTTGTCAATATACATTTTGCCGTATGGAACTACTATTTCTGGTTCATTCATAGAGGTACATATCTGCATGGGGAAATTTATGGCACACATGCGTTTTTCTATTACAGAAAGTCTACTAAAACAGGCTGGCCAAAAATCAGTACTTTTACAAAACACTCCCAAGTTACTCAGTACCACCTCAACAGAAAAATTCAATACGTTTTCAGTACTTCCATTGGACAATATTCGAAAAATTGAGGAAATTTGAAACTCCCGCTCGAATTTCGACAAAAATGAGGTAGCCACGGAATTTCATTGGTGGCTTGAAGATTAACAGACTGCACGATCACAATCTTGCAGTAAAATACTACCCTTAGAATCAACGCGCAGGGAATTGCATACTCTGCAGGCGTTATTAAAAACACGCGTGGTATGAAGAAGAAATACCGGATCTCCTTGCAAAATGTCTGCACTTTAACAGTACTTCCGGACCGCTCTGAAAAAATCAGCACTAATTCCGGACTTTCCTGACTAGCAGACACCCTGTGAAATGAGCCGAAAATAGTACTTCCTTAACGCAAAACACAGTCCGTATCGTCTTAATTCTCGCGGTTCGAACACGGATCGCGGCGGAGAAGATGAGCAGCGACGGACTACTGCCGGATACAAACGGAACGTGCCACGACAAGCTGGGAAATCAACCCTTCCTTCTCGCACCCCTCGCTCTGCTAAGCCAAGGAAGAACGCCGTATGAGCCTTCAAACGTTGCCAAGTTTCCTTTGATAAAAACTGAATTTACCGGGAAAATTGTGCATAATTTTTTCCAAATTTTTCAGGCAATTTTTTACGCAAAAAAATCTAAAATATCTGAAAATTTCAAAGAAAAATTTGCATGAACGTCATCAAAAGAACATGTTTTATCAAGGGAAATTTGGCAACTTCGAGCGTGGATATGGCGTTCTTCCTTAGCACGGCAGCGCTGCCGGGGGTGGAAAAGGCCGGCGCCTCCTCATCCGAGGAGCAATCCCGGATCAGTCCCGAACACGGCTCTGGCATGCCGGGGCAGATTGATTCGAAATTACCTTGTATGCAACGATGAAAACGTCATGAAGAGCCGATTTTATTTCCTCGTGTCACATGGCCGAGCGCCCGTACCTTTGACACGTCGACGAGATCTCCACCCCGCAACGGAACAACCCCGTTTCCGGACGAGCCCCGGCGTGCATGGGAACGAGAGCATTTCGCGGCTCATATTAAAATCCCCGGGGGTTCTTCTGCCGAAACCAGCCCGGTTCTTTTCTCGTGATTGTTCTCGGTCCGGGGGCGAATTTATTGGGCTTGTTCACATTTATCCGTTTCCCGCAGTTATTGGCTCCCGACGGCAGTTCCGATCGCCGTTCAGACTCGAGCTACACGGCCGTTACGGCGCACGGATCGAGAGGGGTTCCCGAACATGAGATACGAGACGTTTTTGACGTAACGGCAACGGGAATTCATCAGGCCCTCCTTGAATTAACTCCAGATTTACGAGGTCTGGATACGACCCCCAAATCACCCTCAGTGACGCTACATGACACTGCATTGGGTTCCTACACGGGAAACAGGGGGCGAGCGGGGTGGCTGAACGCCCTCCCCCCCCTCCCCCAGAAAGAAAGGAGGGGGGCGGTGCAGATACCTAGAAAGGGTTTAAAAATAACATTTTTTTTTTTGAGGAGAAAGCTGAGCTATATGGTATGGTCATGTCAATAGAATGACGGACGAAAGGCTGCCAAAGAAGTTGCTTGATTGGGTTCCTCGTGGGAGGAGACGAAGGGGACGCCCAGTGAAAAGGTGGCGACAGGGGGTTTCAGAGGAAATGAAGGTTTGTCAACTCCCTGAAGGGCTTTGGGAGGATAGGGGACTTTGGCGGCTAGGGGTCGCAGAGCGCCAAAGAGCGCTATTGAAGCGACTTTATACATACATACAAGCTGGGCTAACCTGCCGTGATAGCTATAGAAAGCCGTGAGTGCATTCTGGGATGACCCGCGAGATAAATAAGAGCATGTGCTTGCCATGGCTCATACAGGAATGCATTTACGGCTCTCTTCGCCATCACGGCAGTGACCCTCCGCAAAATTGGGGCTAGACTCATTCTCGCCGGTTTCGCGTCGCTCCTCTGACAAAAGGGCGTATCTAAAATTTGGCATGAACCCGAGAAAGCATGGATTCATCAGTAAAACAGAGCTGACGTGGAAATTGAGATGCGCCCTTAGGTCGGAAAAGCAACGTCATACACTAAGTTAGGCTCAAATGTCAGCTTGTAAGAATCAAATTTAGGAACTACGATTACTGGCTCAGTTTAGAAACAACGTATGTACCATTAGTAACCCTATGAAAATTAGTGTCTTGGCGGATGAGCCAGAAATTTTGGTTCCCAATTGCAAAATGTAGTCTATCTAAGGATTTACATCACATATTCCCATCGACGGGAGAAAAAACCTCAAACCACAAATCCTCAAATTAAAACTTTTCATACAACAGCTTAGAGGAGTGCTCTATTATCATCTTGGGATGAAAAATTCCAAACATGTTTAACCCTCAGATGCCCAAGCCGAGTCAAACTGGGTAAAAATAAACCACGAGGGAACTACCAAAAATTTGCTGTGTACTCGCATCAATTTTCGGGAATTTCGACCACAGCTCCTTTCCACACTTTCTGGAGTCCTCGTGTAAAATAACAGGGGATTCAGTTTTCATAGGGGGAGATATTTTCGATGAAAAATGAGCCCCCGTGTTATTTTCCATAGGGGCCACATGAAGTGGGCACCAAGCAGATCAGCCAATTAACGACGACTCGTTAGAGTAGGGGGTGCCACTCGGTCCGCAAATCAAATTGCTGCTATTGTTTTCTCTATAGAGCCAATGTGTTCTTAGACGAATTCCCTGACTTTCCCAACAAATTTCCCGACTTTTCCAGGTTTTCCAGACCGCCGGAAACTCTCCGATACTAAAGTCTGTCACATTTACGAGCCAGTCATGCAGTGATGAGACAACAAGCGAGAGTGGTGCAGTACGGATTCCTGGATCTCATTAAGAGCGTCATCCCGCGTTTGAAGCATTTCACGCCGGCCGGAGAGGTTACATCGTGGCATTGCGCGGGAGGACTAATTGGGTGGGAGAAAAATTTCTCCCAGACAGCTCGACTCCAGTTTTCAACTGTTTCTATCGAGCATGAGACAATCATTTTGTCCTGTCAACAGTTACAGCAAAAACACTTTCTCCTCGGCTCTTCAACGGTTCCCCTGTTTCTTCGCCGCTGATTTTTTACGGTAGTATTGTTTGGACTTTTCCTCCTGTTTTCGGAAATTCAACATTATGGCACATTGCAATTGGCAAATTATTTAGTCATTTCTTGGGCTTTTCCCGAAGGGTGCCTCTGATACTAATTTTATGAATATATTATATACCGCATGCGCGGTTAGACTAGGGCTAAGCTGATTTTCTTAATTTTCCTGTTTTTGGGGAGTAATACAAAGGACAAGCAGAGGTTCGGAAAACCCTCCGATTGTTTGTGGTTATGAAATCGTTGACGTGAAATTACAATTTCTGAATTTGCCTTTAGAAAGAGTCTTAATATCAAACTTTTCTAATTCTCACGGGCCCTGACTCAAGAAATTGACAAAATATCAACGGGAGGTTTTCCTAAATTCTGCCGTGCTAAGAAAAAACACCGTATGAACATTCGAGAGTTGCCAAATTTCGCCGGATAAAATATGCATTTTTGAGGAATGTTAAGCATATTTTCCCTTGAAATTTTCAGACATTTTAGATTAAATTGCGTGCAAAATTGTCCGAATATCTGGAGGAAAAATATTCACGTATTTTTCTAAAATATTCCTATTTCACCCGAAGAAATTTGGTAACGCCTGAGGGTTTATACGGCGTTTTTCCTTGGCACGGTAGAATTTTCCTCGAGGCCCTTGCTCAAGAAATCGGACCACATATTTATAAAGTTTTTTTCCTTTAAGTTTGCAAGTTGCGCTCATCCCACTTTCTAATCTTCAACTAAAGAGCTAAAATTTTAGAGAATCATAAAACTGGATATAAATATGTAAATATCAATATTATTGCCGCGCGTTTCAAGTTCGAGCTCCGGAGGGCGGCATCATCCCGCAAGAGAGCTTTCTGCGAACTGGGGTCGTAAAATTGGCTCCTTTCGAACGGCACCGGTTGGCCACGCACCACGCGGAGCTACGGGACGGGTGGAACGAGAACTTTCTTGTTGTTAAGGCCCTAGAACGACTACGGCGGCATTACTTCAAACAAGATAAAAAAATAACTATGCGGGGAACATCGGGATTACCGGTTCAGATTAGCGGAGCGATAACGCCAGCAAGTGGGACTACGGCTTCCTCGACATCGCATTAGCCGGGAAAAATAAAATAAAATGCGTGAAACACACCGACAGCGACAGTGACGGCAACAGGCCAAATTGCAAGGAAGTTTAAAATCCAATACGATACATGCAGGCGGTTGATCCAATTGTTGTGATCGACTTAGCAGGGTGTCAAGTATTTTTTAATTTTAGAAAATCCTGATATTTTCCTGATTTTTCCTGATATTTTGTAAGAAATTCCTGATATTTTCCTGATTTTTCTCGTAAAAACTATATTTATGCATAAATGCATGCGGAAACTAAATTTTCTGATTAGTAGTTCTTGTGGTTAGAAACTGGTATAAATACAGTATTAAGTACAGGCGCTGAAAATAAACGGAAAATTTGATTTCGCAAAGACGGCGACTCTGCGATGAGGCCTTCACTATAAGACACAAGCGCTACAGGTGAGAAATTATCGGTAACCAAGACGGCGCGACGACTCCTGGCACGATAGGCAAAACGCAGAAAGACTTCTCCGCTGAGGAGATTCGTGTAAGGAAAATTCCTGATAAAACGTCCGATTTTTCCGATTTTCCTGATCGGCCAAAATTCCTGATATTTTCGGGAATTTCCTGTTCATAAAATAAACTAGTCTTACCTTTAATTCTATATTTAGCTGCTTTTCTAACGACACTAAACGAAGATCGTTGGCAAAATTTGAGTTTTCTTGGTTAGAGGATGTGGTAAGGCCAGCCATTGGTGACAGTAAGGTTTCTGTAACAAAACAAAAAAGATATTCTATTATTAACATGCTTTCCAGGAAGATTCAAATGCCGGTAATTACTACAATACACATTTAGATGAAAATCAGTTTTTTTCAGGGTAGAAAGAATGCCGAATGTTCAAAAGATAATTACAGGGTTACTATTTTTTTTTTTTTTTTTTTTTTTTTTTTTTTGGGGGGGGGGGGGGTCCATCTGTGTCTAATCTCAGATGTTTAAGAGTGATACGATGAAAATTAAAACATCTTTTTTTCCATTCGTTGTGAGCAGGAAAAAAAAACGATAATATTGATTGCCCGATTCATGCTTAAACATAGAGATGCATTAATGCGCTAGAAGTATTTCTACTAGAAATCTATTGTAGGTATACTTGCTTATCGTAAATAAGGTTTACGTGATCCTCAAGGTAATGCAAAAAATCAAGATCAATTAAGGAGTCAGCTTTTCTGTGGCGATTAATTTTAATAGCTGTGGATCTTACAATAGCAGCCGCTGTTATTTTTTATCCTCGTAAAAAAGAAAAACAAATACTAGAAAACCCCGAGAAAATGACACTCCGACAGGAAGTAAATGCGAGTTAATTTCGAATAACCATGAACTTCAAACTACCATTCGTCGAGGTTTCTTGTCAACATCCATCACTCCGCTCATGGCATTTTCGATGTTCTCGCAGGATGACAACGCGTTTCAGCAAACGCTGATGAGGAGTTGGTCATGCCGTCCAGCTACAAGACTACACGAAGGAAATTGAGCCGTGGAATTGATGAAGAATCTCGAAAACCATAATATGCTTTAGGGTCGTTCATAAAATACGTGACGCTCCAGGGTTAGACGGGGGTTAAAGAGAGCGTTACGCCACTTTGTTTTCACATATTAAGATAAAGTAAGCCGGCCAGGTTGGCTTATACAATCAGCAGTCAGCGCGTCTGACCCAAGACCAATACGTCCCGAGTTCGAGTCCCGGTGGTGGCGTCAAATTTCCACGGAACTGACGAGTAGATCTGCAGAGACGGATTCCACTCGACCTTAATCCCTGAAAATTTGAAAGCCAGAGCATGGATGTGCCAAAATCCCCCGGATATCTACTGACAATATAATAATCTCTGTGTTCAAAATCATGTCTATAGATTCCTAAGTTACTAGATAAACAGGAATAAAGGTCAAATAAACTGCAAGCAAGAAAAAGAAAAAGAAAAAAAAAACATTAAGTACCTTCGTCACAAAAACACTACGAGGGGGAAGGGGGCGGGTCGAAAAACCCGAAAATTGCGTATATTATGCATTGCTGGTTACCAAACTCCTTATTTTGGGCTTTCTCACTACACTCATCACAATGCCAACTCGTTACTCGTTGATAACACCGTTTTCCCGCCATTGAAATGTAAGTTTAACAATCGAGTCAAGGTAATGCAGCCTGGCCCACCCAAAATCGATACTTTCAATGTATTTAAATGGAAGAAAAACAGTGTTGCCAAGTTGCAAAATCGCCACTGGCTCATCAAAACAGTGAACTGCTCGACGAAAGCTCCAAGGATCCACCCGAAAGCTCGCATAAAATCCGCCAGGGCCGAACAAACGCTCGAATTAAGCAGTGACATCGGCAGTAATAACCGCGGCGAAATGGCAAAACGGGGCGGTGGGGGAGGAGAGGGGGGGCGTGGGACCAGGTCGACGAGTGGTTCCCCAGCGTTGCCGAATCGCCTCAACATCGACAGGCAAACCCAAAAAACTACGGGGTTTTGGGCCATGTTCGGCAACGGGGCAGCCGGAACACCTATGGGAACCGGGGAAGACGAGGAGCGGACGAGACAATCGCGGAGACGTCATTGTGTGTTTAAGGAGTAAAAATCCGCCGCACTGAGAAAGAACGACGTATGCGTATTCCAATGTTGCCAAATATCCCACGGTAAAAAATCCATTTTGGGGAGAAGATTAGGATATTCCCCGTCGCGGGAAAAAAATCAAAAATCAAGGACAAAAATCGAGGACTTTTCAAGAAGTTTTAATTATTGTACTCATGAATTTTAAGGATCTTAAAAAGTGTTAGGGATTATCCACTAAAATTGTGGTACTACTACAGTGTGTTGGATGATCCGCAACTTAAGTTAGGGTAGTACCGCAACATTTGCGTTAGTAACCTAATTCATTGGGGTACGACCACGATTAATTTGTGTACTACCAAAATTCATTGGAAATGTTCATATCACACAACAAACTCGTGATTTTTTTTATCCGTGTTGTGTAAAGTTTTTTAGACATTTCACAAGGATATGCAAACAAATTTTTAAAATCTTCAAGAATGCTTCAAAAAAGGAGATTACATCTTTCTGTGCCTTAATTTTCTGTTATGCCTTGTCTTAAGAAGTAAATGAATAATGCCGTACATTTAACTGAATTTGACGCTTCGAATGACTCCAATATACATACATATCAAGCCGCTACCTCAGCGCACTAGCTCTTTACTCCATATACTCCATACTCATGACTCCAATATACAAAGTATAAAACGTTAAATTTTTCGAGGGGGTTGCAGACGAAACGACCGGATGATGTAAAATTCAAGGACTTTCAAGTATGTTTATATTTCAGAAATTTTTCGAAATTCAAGAAAATTTAAAATAAAGATTCAACGATATTCGCGGAGTTTTCAAGGCATCGCGAGCTCTATTTCTTGAAATGTTCAGATTAGCAGTGGCGAAGCGTGATCGATCAATTATCGATATTTCCCCACTTGAAGCTATCGTAAAGAATCGATTATTAGTATGTTTGTTGCGAACACCCTGTTTATCGATCTTTTTCCATAGGTTTCAATGGCAGATCAATCGATATACCGCAAATCACGCTACGCCACTGAGGTTAGATACTCACGAGGGGAATACACAAGTACAGCTATTCAATGGCATCTCAAGGCATTGCAGAGAACCCTGCCCGTTGAAGTGTACAAATATACTGGCTTAAATTGCGAATAAAATCTATCTGACAATTCAGCGACAGAAATTGAAGTAATTTCCAAAAATTCAAATTTTAGCGGGGGAATGTGGCAACGTCCCAAAGTTCATACGGCGTTATTTCTTTCGCACGGCAGAAATGGAAACGGGCCGCAGTCCCTGATTGAGCCAGGAAGCGGCGTTCGTCGCTCGAAATCGGTCCCACAGCTCTGGACTCGGCACGCTACCACTTACAACGAAGACGTCAGGATGAAACGTCCGCAACGCCGAGGTTCATGGTTCATGACAGCTTTTCAAAACCACACAGAGGGGAAAAAACACAATATATTGAAATATGGGCCGAATTGAATGCTTAGGACTGAAATAAGGGCGCATCTCAATCACGGCATGAGTAGTGGCGGATCTAGCAATTTGGCAACACCGGATTTCCTCCATTTAAACCTACGCTAAATAATCGATTCTTGTCGGAGCATCTGGCCCCTCCAAGGATCGATTTATTTCCATAGGTTTAAATGGAGAAAAGACATTGTTGCCAATTTGCTAGATCCACCATTGGGTATGAGCCGCGGACAGCTTGGAGTTAAATGGGGCTGATATACTTGAAATTGATAAACAAAGCGATAGACAAAGAAGACGTAGAAAGTATAGAGCGATCCTATTGGTTGAAATGGGTAATTCTTATAGACTAATTGTAAGGGTGTAAATGATGGATTAACTATAGGGTTTATCGCGGGTTGCCGTTAGTTCGTCTTTCACCAATCTCCTATGTCCATTGCAATCACCCGCTTTCACCAATAGGATCCCTACATATCCCTTTTGCCTATTGCTTTGTCTATCGATTTCAACAAGCAGCCTGCAGTTCGTGCCTTGTGCAGTGCCCCAGTCTGGGGACTTGGTTCATAGGCCTCTCCTGCTAGGAGGAATTCCGTGAGATTCAGTTCCGATCGCTTAATTACCCTAACCACGTAACAGTTTCTCCGGTCGGACGCGGCATGCGTGGGTTCCCTCTTATTTCCATCGAATTACGCCCTCTTCAGAATGCCGACTGACGCGTCCCGTCCCGTCGCGTCGGTCGCCTGGTCTGTTCGTACCTTTTGTCACGCCTCACGCACCCAACGGCACGCACACGCCACGCGGCCCCGGGACCCGGGAGAAAGCTCATCGAGTAGGAACTGTTCTTTGTTTTTAGTTTCATGCTGGGTGTCTTCATCCCTATGATATAGACTCGGGTCTCAAGAGGGAGAACTGTGTGGGAGAACTTATTTTCAGTTTCATGCTGGGTGTCTTCAACCCAATGATATGGACTCGGGTCTCAAGAGGGACTAACATGCGTCACATGACGACGCGATTGAAATCGGAAGAAAGAGAATCAGAGAAGGTGTGAGAAGGAGGAAAGGAGGAGGAGGGAGAGAAAGAGGGAGGGGAAGAGGAGGAAGAAAAGTAAGAGGAAGAAGAAGAAGAAATGTATGAGGCGGAATGAGAAGAAATGTAAGAGGAAGAGGAGGAAGAAAAGTAGGAGGAGGAAGAAAAGTAGGAGGAGGAAGAAAAGTAGGAGGAGGAAGAAGAAGAAGAAAGGTAGGAGGAAGAGGAAGAAGAAAATAAAGAGGAGGAAGAGGAAAAGTAAGAGGAACAAGAAGAAGAGGAATAAAAAAGGAAGATGAAGAAAAAAGAAAGAGAAGAGGGCGAACAAGAAGAGGAACAGGGAGAACAGGAGGAAAAAGGGAGGATGTGGAGGAAGAAGAGGAAGAAACAACAGGAGGGACAAGAGGATAGTGGAGGAGAAGCGGGAGAAGAGACAAAAGAAGAACAGAAGGAACAAGAAAGAGCCTTGGAGAAAGGGCGAAATTTACGTCGCTTGATGTCATGAAAATTAACTTATCAGCTGTTTATTAGGGAACATAATGACCAGCTTGGCGAGACTCACGGTCTTGATACAGTTTTCTCTGTGCGAAAGTCCCTGCTCAGGGTTGCTGCAGAATTTGAAAAATATACTTCCCTGGCATTTCCCTGATTTTCCTGACAACCTTTGGTTTCGCCAACCTGA